TTCATGAAGGAATCCCGCCCGGAGTGTGAAGGCCTGTAGGTGGAAGTAATGCTCGGGCAGCAGGGAGTGCAAGCACATCAATGTTTGCATGATGATTCCGATGTGTGATTTTCTCCACACACGTGGCACCCACGCAGGAAAGTCTGATGCGGCACTGAGCAGAAACGGAGGACGAACGTATTCGTGCGGAGGAGAAGCCAAGGAGGCTCCGTGAGTCACAGGATGGAGAGACGCTGCTCACAAAAGGTCCCTTCCAGGCACCTAAAGGACACGTGTGTCCTTTAGGTGCCGCGACAGGCTGCGTGTCGGAGCGCTTCAGAGAGCAGCCAGTCCAAACACACCGCTGGCAAGTGGAGAGTCCTCCGTGTTCTCTGGTACTAACCGAGGAGCAGATATACCTGCCAGCAGTGACTCACTCTGTGTCTAACGTGTGACCAGGGGATGCGCCAGTTACTAATTACTATTAATAGATTAAAAGAAATAACTAATTAATCGCATATTGTGAAATTCATTAATTGTGATTAAAAGACTACAAGTAATGAGTAAACATTTCTAAAGACACTATTGTTTACTTGTATTTTGAACACAAACTCATCTTGGCGGCGGAACATGTTGAACCAGCGACTCTTCCTGTCGTCCTCGTGCACTTTGCGCTCAGCTCTCCATCATTTGACGGCTGTGTTTGAAGAGCCAACAACGTCCCCACATTCAGCAGGACGCCTTTTAGAGTCACAGTGGTCCTCTGCGGGGCAGGTGTTGAGATGGAAGTAGCCTAGCAGCTAGCTTGGCCTAGCCTACACGGGGCCAACGCACGCCAGACGTAAACAGAGTTAACTGTGTTCAAATATTCTATCGCATTAATCTCGGCCACAATAATCGCATAGATTAATGCGTTAACTTTGACTACTAAATACCTGCTTTAACAATAGAATAGCAAGTTAATAGTCTGGGTGATATTGATTTGTCAGTTCTCGGATGCATTCGCCTTCCCGCTCCGACTCTAATCTGTCCCCCGGTGCTAAAGAATGCTCGCCGTCCCCCGAGGCGTGAAATACGTTTCCACACTCACCAGTGCCATCTGCCGTCGTGCTGTCACTCAGACTCTGATGGGTGTTTTGTAACCACAGATAAACCAGCGTCTGGCACAGGTCTCCAAATGCCCACCAGATCACCAGCTGAGTGATTCTGTGCTCTCCAGGAAGGAGAGACAGCGGAGATTCCCTCTGCTGGCTGCACTTCGTTGGGCCGCTCATCAAGTCGCCTCTAAACCTCTATTGTCTCAGTGAGTCAAAGTCTCATGCGTCAGGGGCCAACAGCAACGCTCACATGTGTGTTACTGATCACGGCACGGGACGCAGAGTTTCTCTCACCGAAGCCTCTTGGATTATTCACATCGTATTGTTGAAATGAAAACTACGAGCAGCGAGTGGGAAGAAGACTTTTAATTGTCCCCGTGCGGCGACGCTGTCGCACTGAACAACACTCAACATTCAGCTTAGCATAGGCGTGCTAATACCCGTCAATGACGTGCTCTGCTAATGCAGAAACATTTAGATATTCTTTCACTCACTCAACCCGCGGGGAAATAAAGCACATCTCAACCACATTATGAGTCTATCGAGCAGCCGAAGACTCGGCTGATTCTACAGAATCCAATATTAACATTAACCCAAATCCATTCAGCTCACCTGCTGTGGAACTGCTACGATCAGGTAGCTAATCAAGGCCATTGATTATGGGTAGGGAGGGTTCCTTGTATTAATCCGAGGGCCCGGGCCCTGGAGGCTTGGACCATGTCACTGTCTCCCTCACACAAACACGGGGCACATGGATCCTGCGTCCGTTCCCCCTCCAGCATTCTGCTCGCTCAACGGGTGAGCGCCGCTTTGATGTAGCGATGGAAACAGTCCAGGGCTGCCGTGCCAACGTCCTGCCGGTGTCTCCCCCCCCCCCGTAAGAGGCCTGACTGCATTTGGCGGTGTGTTAGTGAAGGCGTCATTTACACAGCGACACCTCAAGAAACAAGTCGAAGCTTCTTCATCGCTAAAGACCTCGGGTGCTCGGAAGGACAAATGAAGCGGCCCCCAGGGTTGACCCCGCGACCCCTGGTTGAAAACAAAAGAGGCGGAGCGGAGTGAGACCGGTGGGGAGCTGGTGACCTCGTGGGCCCTGAGAGTGTTGCAGCTTTAGGCTACGTTCTGACTAGCCGAACAGCGGTGATCGGTGGTCTGTTAGTGGGCCAGTGAGCGGTGACGGTGTTACAGGTAATGATGACCTTTATCCCCATTGCTCAGGGGGTTGGGAGGGGAGGGGGGGGCACACAGTGGGCCACGAGGCTCCCCACAGAGCTGGTGCGTGAGTGCCATGTTTTAGCATGAAGGCTATATCTTATGGGACGGTGAGTGCACGAGTGACCCCCCTGAGGGGGAGACAGGCTGGACAGGGGGAGGTCTGTGTTGGCACATCTGCAGCTGCACAGATATTCCCTTATGCAACTCAACATACACTTACTGTCTTTTCCTGGAGCGTTGAACGCCTTCTAGTTCTACTCAATCAAGTGGATCGAATGTCAACGGTCCAGAGAGACGGATTAGGGGGGGTCACATCCTTTAGGAGGCTGCAAAGATCCCAAAACTCTTTTACTCAAAATTCTTTTACTCACATGCTAGTAACCCCACTAAGCCTGAAACCGAGTGCGCGTGTCGTAAACAAATGGTCGCGGCATTGAAATGGTGGCTGCTCTTCGTGTCCGTCCTGCTTCACCGGCCCGGCAGCGATCTGGATCCAACATGGCCGTTACTTCTCCTCTGGAGTTATTTTAAAACCCAACTCACTCGTCGGCGGCCGCTCTGTTCCTGCCGAGCTCGATTGCTGCTCCTCAGTCAGATGAATCTGCTGGTGTGAAACGCCATTTGTTTAAGTGTGACTTCTCTCGCTTTCCTCTCCTCTCTCCTCCTTCTCCGTGTGCCCCCGTCCCCCCTCCCCATCCCCGCTCTCTCGTTTGGTGTTTGGATCGCTTGCAGTTTGATTGTGAAGGACGGCGTCACGTTGTGTGTGTGTGTGTGTGTGTGTGTGCGATGAGCCTCATTAGGCGTCGCTCCCCACCGAGTGGACAGCAGTCGGCGTCCAGCATGTCCTTTGATGACCAAATCAAACGGATTGGAGCCAAATGAGGGAATATGAGACTAAATGGAAATGTGCACAACCGTGTATTTAAAATTGTAAAGGCGAGGAAAAGCCCCGTTGTCGTGGTAATTGGGTGCCACCTAGCGACAGCGTCCTCTGACGCGTGACAGCGCCTTTCAGACGCGTCGGATGAAGTCGGCGCGTTTCCACCTTTCTCCTCCCCCCGGTTCTCTTTTACGTAACAAAGTGTTACGTGACTTGGAGCTGCAGTGACTCCCCTCCCCTCCCGCCGGCTTCCCCCGGAGCAGAAGGCCGCAGCTCTTTGCCCGTCACACTCAGTCTCCCCCGTTGTCTCCCCCCCCTCTCTCCTCTCTGTTAGCTCCTCGCTGCAGCCTGGTTGCTTTCCGACTGCAGCAGAAGTTCATCCTGCAACCAGAAGCGACAGTGACAGTCGAACCCCGTCTTATCCTCCCCCCTCCTCTCTCTTCTCATCGCATGTCCGCTGCACTCCCTCCTCGTGGCCACGGGCTCCTCCCGCGCCGCGACGGCGGGCGGTGTATGCGCGCCGAAGTCGGGTCCTCGCCTCCCCGTTGGCCTCTACGACGACGCCGTCAGAAATGCACGAGGCCTCAACCTGCAGATTAAAGCGGCCACAATCACCTGTCTCAAAGCACCTTTTATTTGCCTCTTTCATACCTGCTCACTCCCCTTAATCGGCCACCGGCCAGTAGGGGGCGCTAGGTGGGCAGCGTGGTACATTGTGCATTATGCCCTCACAGCTTATTGGTGTCGGGTTAGCCAGATGTTGGTACTCAGTCACACCTGGCGCAGTAGAGTCCCTACATCGATCACATTTGGTGGCGGAGGAGACGTTCGAATGATGAAGCTACTTTCCGTCCTTCACTTTGACTTCAAACAAAAGCCGTAACACGAAGCTCCAGCTGTTTTCAGTGATTCCTTTGCTCGCATGAGAGTGGTTGAATTCATAGTTCACAAACTGGTTATTTTTCTTACTGCATGAGGTGAAAGTACAAGACGTTCTCTCAGGATGCCTCCTCTTTGCTTCCTTTTGCCCTGATTAATGGAGTCCTCAGAGAGCCGCCTGCTGGGCTTAGATTACCCATCAGCCCCTGGTTTATAGGTCATCACAAGTTTATAGCCACTGACTCGCTCATGATCCACCGTACACGAGCAGCCGGGGGGGGTCAGAGCACCAGCCTCTCTGGGCACGTAGCGCGGGGATGCAGTGATAACATCAGTGTGCACTTCAAGCTCTCAGATCAGAGTTCATCCGCCGCATTTATGCGACGACGCGCGGTAGCGACTTTGGCGTCGTGGTCGTCCTGTCAGAAACCAAATACACGGGTCATGAAAATATCATCAAATAACATCAAATCTATCAAAGACTTGATAGTTGAGAGTTGATAGTAGATGAGAGAGGCCGAAGCTCTCAGTCCCGCTGTGCTCCATTGAGCCCGAAGCCACCGTCAGCATGCTGAGATGCTCAACATGAAAGTGGTCAAATTGTACCTGATGACAGAACTAGATCTAATCAAAGGGATTCATTAGAAACATTCTAATTGAATTGACTTAAATTGGATAGTGAGAACGCTCCACGGTGACCCTGACCTGCACCAACACAATGCAAACGCTCCTCTTTGTTCTCTCTTCTCTCTCTCTTCTGGCAAATCAGCAAAACCTTCAAATAGCACCATCCGTTTCCATTCATCTGCCCTGTAATTGTAAACTACCTCTTTACCAAAGTTATTTAAAGTCGTATGGATGTTATGGAGGTGTTGTGTGCTGTATTCTACACCCTCGCTGATCAATGAGTCTTTTCTTTTGGGTCTTTTCTGTCTTTCTTCCCTCCCCAGTTCTTCCCGTACGGCGACGCGTCCAAGTTCGCCCAGCACGCCTTCAGAACCTTCGACAAGAACAGCGACGGCACCATCGACTTCAGAGAGTTCATCTGCGCGTTGTCCATCACGTCGCGGGGCAGCTTCGAGCAGAAGCTCAACTGGGCCTTCAACATGTACGACCTGGACGGGGACGGCAAGATCACCAGGGTGGAGATGCTGGAGATCATCGAGGTACCGGGGGGGGGTCAAAGCCGCCACCTGAGCTCCAGTTCAACCTCCTGCTTGTCCACAAAACAGTGTTGCAGATTAACAGCCTCCGACGATTGGCTGTGACCCAAACGGTAGCTCCGCCCAGTGTGTCCGCCCCCCTGTCCATCTTCAGATCCAAGAGATAGCCACACCCACCCTGATGGTTACCTGGTACCCTCGCCGACCTAATCCTCAACTCCATCAATAACAATGAGTTCACCTTTGGCTGACACAGTAAATATAATGTGGAATATAACATTTATCGTCCTATCATAACACATCGTATTCATAATATTTAACTCATTAGAGAGTCGACCACAGAGCTCTCCCGTCTGTCCCGTCCCAAAAAACCTTCAATGAGGAAGAAGCTTGCAGAAGAACGTTAAAGTGGGGACCCCCTCCCAAGGATAAAATAGACGCCACGTGAACCAATGGTCTGCAGGATATACAATAGTTTTAAATATGCTAATTCTACCATATCTAATATCACACAGGCTTTCATTTCTACCTCTAGGCGCACGTTTCTGCTTCAAACCTTAACGGTACCACAGCAGAGAAGAAGACATGGATTGGTGGATTAGTAATTGAAATTATATATATCAATTTACTATATTAAACTGGCACGATTAAGCTTGTTTCTTTTTGTACGTAGTTAAAGGTTCACAAGGCAGAAGTGGACGTTTAAAGCTTCGTATCGACATGATTTGTTTCTATCCAACAGTAGTTCGTCTGTAAAATCCCGAATGTTTCTTTTTTAAAGTAACAGCTCAGGCTGTGGTGTCCCTGGCGGACAGCGGCGTCATCTAGACGCTAAAGATAGCAGCGGAAGCCGGCGGACAGGTGCCCCAGCTGTGCTCCAGCTGTGCTGCAGACATCGTGCCTGCATCTCTCAGGGGCAGATGCCAGGGAGGGAAACGTGACCGTACTCACAGGCCGCGGGTGCAAACCGTCTCCTCCTCTAACCTCTCTGCAGGCGATCTACAAGATGGTCGGCACGGTGATCATGATGAAGATGAACGAGGACGGCCTGACGCCCCAGCAGAGGGTGGACAAGATCTTCTCCAAGATGGACAAGAACAACGACGACCAGATCTCGCTGGACGAGTTCAAAGAGGCGGCCAAGGGCGACCCGTCCATCGTACTACTGCTGCAGTGCGACCTCCAGAAATAGGACGCCGGCGCCACGGACTGCAGAGAGGATTTCATGTTCCATTCAGTTTGCAGCTATCTCCACTGAAAAAAATAATATATATATATATATGCTTGGACTACCTTTCAATGGATCTGCTTCTTGTGTTTGAAACACTCGTGTGCATGAGAATGTTAATTGCTATCAAAAAAAAAAAATCCACACACAACATATGGTCCCGTGTGCGGGTGTACGCCGCACACACACTCAGCAGACACACACACACACACACACTTTGCACAGATAATATATACAGAAATATATGAATTTCATTTATTTAAAAGATCAACTGCCAAAATGTGAAGTGTGCAAAGTATTTTCCACGCGGCCTCGTTCTACCAGACGCTCGCTCATCAGCGATGCGCCGTGTTGAATCCGCCGCCGCTCTATTTATTGTTCCGCGTTCACTGCCCCGAGCCATGTGCGTTCACCACACCGAGTAATCAACTGCACCGAACCCCCGCGGCCACGCGTCTGCCTCCTACGTCCGCTCAACGGGACAACAACAACATGCTCGTGCTGTCAGTAGACGGATGTAAACGTAGTTCATTTGCATGCCTTTAGGTTTTTGCCTTAAAAAGGATCCCTCGTTCTGCATCCCGTGGCCTTGTGGGAGCGGCGCTGAATCCCCGAGGAAGGTCTTCGGTGGAAAGGGAGTAGCTCCCTCTGCCAGTGTTCCTGTGGTGCGTCGAAGCATGTTTCCTAGTAGAATGGCTGTAGTATATGTTGCTGAGCACTCCCCCCCCCATGCATCTAAACTCTCATTACCAATTAGCACATGTTGAATGTAGAAGAATCCGTCCTTTTGAACCCACATCCGAGATTAGAAGAAGAGAGATAAGTTGGTAGACTTGTGATGGGACAGAACGAATGGAGCTTCAGCTGCACTTCCATTAGAAAGAAGATCTCACTGCGCACCAGCCTGCAGGCTGCACACCGACGCGATTACGATGTGAGACTTGAGCGCTAAAGGACAGGTTGGAGGAATCTGGCCACACAAACAGCTGCGTTGGTCTTTTTCGGTGGAAGTCAGTGGGAAGCGGCGAGAGGCGACGTGTAGAAGCCTGTAAAGCCATAGTTGTTACATCGTTTGGACCGATTCACAAATCCTACCAAGTATTTCTCTCAGTCAATCTTTTTGTACTTTTTTACTCCCTTGTCTCACACACTCTGGTGCATTCCAAATGTAGAGAAGTTGAGCGAAGCGCGGCGTCTCCTATAAAACCACCCTGGGAAGAAACCCCGTGAGCTCGCCTCGACCCGTGAGAGAAGCGCAGACCTCCAACCGGCGTCCACACTACCAAGTGTTTCAGGAGACGAGATACTTCACAAACCGCACTAAGCATCCAGCACACCGCTCCATTGTCCCGTCACAGCAGTGTCCATCTGACCCGTCCAGACGATGTTTCTAATTCCAACCGTGTTACTACTGTTGTTGCTATGGAGATACCAAATGTAAGCAAAGGCTAACGTGTACAAGGATTCCTTTGTAGCATGTATTGTGTCCCCGACGACATGGCTGCACTACTCCCTGTGTTGTGATTTAATCTAATAAAAGGAACTCTATGGGCTCTTGTCTGGTCTCTTCTCTGTAGCTGTTTAGCTGGGCCGATGGTTTCCATGGTAACCAGAGTTCAGATGTCCCACTCATGTTGAAAATGGGTTCACTTCATTAATTTTGACAGTCAGAAAAAAAGATCATTACCTACATTTTAAGTCATACAGTATTAATCTATTTAAATCGATGCATCTCAACCATTCAGCCATCACTGCGGCACAGGCGCCGCCTGAAGAGAGCACAGCACTTCTTACAGCCACCACAGCTGACAAAGAGCTGTTGCAAACACCTTTTCCTGCACGTCCATGTCAGTCATTAGCACGCCCCGTCTTCATGCGCGTTGAGGCGGCACTACGAGCCAAGAAGAACTTCAACAGTGACATACAAATGAATCCAATCTGCATAGTCTGCTTCTAACATGGAGTCCGTTTACCACAAGATGTCCCCGTTGAGTCAAAGTTGCTTATGAAACAGTTGTATGGCTACGTGAACAAGTGTTTCATCTTCATTTGTTTCCAAGGAAACATCATCTGATATTTGTTTTGCAGGTGGATTTACAACGATTGAAACGAGTGTGAATCTAGTAATGATTTTCCGCGGGGCCGACTGGGGACACAAACATACTCCTGACTAATACCTGAGGTATTGCATCATCACCGGAGCTTTAGGGCCACTCAGACCAACACAGCCCATTGGTCAGAGTGGGTTCACACAGGACAGCACTTTGCAGCGTGTGATTAGGAAGGAGGCAAGAACTATTCGAATAGGATCATTTATTTTACAGAAACCATATACACCAACTCAGTTTAATGTCACACAATGCTGGGCCACGGATAGCGATCAGTGTTAAGATTGTATGTGTGTGGAAAGTGAAAAATCTTTCCCAGGATGAATACTATGACAAGACATTCCTGGTCACACTGGTGTCTCCTGTGAAGACTTTTGAGAAACGGGGGCATAAACTGGGCCCCCACCGCCAGCGGGGCCGGTGTTCAGAGATTTGATGATGGAAATACAGAAAAAGAAAACCCCTCCTTTCCTTTTTTATCATTATAAAAAAACATCTAACAACAGTATCAGTAAAATGACTACCGGTGTAAAACAGGGAGCATACGGTTTGTACAGATGGAAAGAAGGATGAGGTGAGGATGGTTTTTCCACATCGTTACTTTGGGGGGTCTGTGTTGATGCCATATTTCTCTTTTAGAAGCTTCAGCTGTTCCTCTTTCTTCTTTGTGTCCATCTTCTGGAAAGCCTGCAAAAAGAGTTGATGAACAAAAGGGAAACGGGATTAAATTAGAAATTAATTTCATTAAGAAAATTCAAATACCCTTGTATACTTTTTAAATTCCAAAAACTATTTGTTTGACCTTTTACAAAAGTATATCCCACACTTGCGCATTGACCATTGAGCTCATACATACTCTGTTTGCATTGTAGTAGAGGACCACCAGGTAACGGTTGCAGACATTGAAGCCTGACAAATGGTCGCAGGCATTCTTGGCGTCAAAGATGTCTTCATAAACCACATACGCTGTTCCTCTTGATTCAGGCGTGTTCCCTCTGAGAAGAGAGAAACATCACACAACAACTGACTACAAGATCAATATAAGTTGAGCTCCACCGAAAAATACATGTAAATGATTCCAATGTGGTTCATACGCTTCTACATACAGGAAGAATATTTTTGCTAATGTAAAAATGGGTAACATTGACATTTTATTCGTGCAGATCTACAAATTGGAGCAGCATTGATTGTTAAGGATGACACTCCAATGCTTTCCCAATTCCCAATAAAGATTGAATCACCAACACCGAACATCCCTTTTCAACAGACAAGCTTGGTTCTTCTGAGTAACACATGTGAATAGCAGAGACGTGACATCATGCATCTCCAAGAAATGCTCAGGTCCAGATGTAAAGTACTAGTTTAGCTTCCATTAAAAATGCTCAGGTCCCTGAAAAAGCCCCATGCAGTGATTGCTTGTATAACATTTCATCATATGATTGAACATATTACATGTTGTGCATTGTGTACACATGACATCCATTGCACTCTGTCCATCCTGATGAAGGGATCCTCCTCTGCAGTTCTCCCTACGGTTTCTTCATTTTTTGTCACCCTGTTATTTTTTCTATATAATAGTTTTTCCTGTAAAGCCCGACACGATATAATTGTAACTTGTGATGTTGGGCTTTACAAAACAAATGTAGTTATGATAACAGGAAAAAACTGACCAGACTTCAGTTTGTGAGGCTGGATGGGATGTTGCCATAATTCTAATGATCAAATCCACGTATTGACGTGATCTTCCTTGGGTTAAAAGGTCTTTGAACCTTGTAGAGACACTTACGTTCTGATTTGGCGGATTGGTCCGTATTTGCCAAAGATATCATACATTTCCTCAGCTGTGATTTTGTAGGGAAGGTTCCTGACGTACAGGATTCTGTTCACCTCAGGAGGCAATCGTATCTGCAACAGATTTTGGGATAACACGTTTAAACAATAAACGAACTAAACGACGATGCGATATTACCGTCAAAACATGACAACACGTCGCAACGACCACACCACTTTGATAACGGCCGCTCCTCGTTACTTATAAAATGACTTAACGTTAATTTAACTCAATATCTTGATGATTATGTTTGTACAAAGACCGTTACCCACCTCTTGATTTGAGTTGAGTTACATGAGCAGCATATTCTGTGTTTTAGCATCGACAACCAGATTCACGCAAGCTAGCATATTGTCCATTTAGAGCCACTGCTAGTTATTAAGTTCAGATTTATTATGCCAGATTCCCAACATGAATACTACAGATGGCACCACACAAGTCACCGACTTGACTAACGTTAAACATAACCAAAGCTAGTTAGGTTAGGGAAAATAAGAAACGTTTACGACATAAGATAGCTAATGTGATTGTTTTCAGTTAGCATGCATGCTAACGTTAACCGCATGCGAACATTAGCTTTGCGTGAGGCCAGCTTCAGGCCAGACTACACTAGTATCAGCTATATTCCTCATAAACAGCAGACTTGGTCGAACTTACATTCGCACGTTTCGCTGCTTGCATCGCCATGGTGAAATCGTTTTATGCGGGTATAAGACCGACAAAAACAAACGCGTAGTATCAGAGCTCTCCGCTTTTTCCGGTGTCAAAATGGCAGCGGTATCACCGGAAGGGTGGTTACGCTGCTTCCGGTTGTTGATCTTCTTCTTCTTCTTCTTCTCTAGCGGGCTACAAACAGTCGTTGAGGCTGCATGCCGCCACTTACTTGACCGGAGTGTGTAACATCATTAACATGGCAGTTACGTCATTCACAGATAATAAAATAACAATAACAAAAAAATGACCTGTCGAAACCCAACCTCAATGGCAGAATGACCAAATTGTTTTTACTATTTTTTTACTTTACAGAATTGTTGTGCCAGAGCTACAATGGATAATAGTAAACATCATAACTTTAATAGGAGGTTTTACTAAACTCGTTTAATTTGAATATTTAACTAAAGCCCTTTTAACCTGTATTCATTCGATGCCCCACTCTCTGCTCATATCTAGCACCGTGCTCTTCAGTTCTCTTACCACACAGAAATTGCTACAGCTTATCAGCAGTTTCCTTACACAAACACGTCTTTTTCTATATGTCTTTTGGCTCTCTGATACATGATATGTGCCGATACTGTGGTGTGGATACTTCAATACCCACAAGCAAATACTTGGTGGTAATGCATATGTTTATTACAGTGATTCCCCTACCGTTATAACTGAAATGACCTCTCCGCCCCCCGTGGAAAGTTCTGGAAATAAAATGTAAAATGTTAATATTATTTTCTCTTCCCTCGCACGGCAGTTCCACACTGACAGTGGACAGGCTACTCCACCCCCCCGGTCGGCCTGGGGTCCTGGTCACTGTTCGCCCGACTACCCCCCCCCTCTCCCCCCCATGTACACCGATGGGAATATAGCTTCTAACTTAGCGGACGCTACGGTCGACAGGAGGGGAGCAACCAATACGGCTCGAACCCGAGTCCAATTTCTTGGCGTGAGAAATTGGATATAACTTCTGTAAAATACAAGTTTCCTTTTCCAGAAGTGGCAAAAATTAATTCAAATTGTACAACATATTTGCATTTGTAATTTATACTACTATGTGTAATTTGCCTTTGGACATAGTTCTCTTTTTTAACATGAATGATGCCAGACGAGACAACCCAGCTCATCAGACTTCAAGCATGTCTTAAGGACATCAACACCTGGATGACCGGCGACTGTTAAGTCTCAGACGAAACAGATGTTAGGCCCTGAGCGCCTCTGAAGTCAGTCGTCTGGTGAAACAGTTTCTCTGGATGCTCTGGTAGCACCGTAGTGAGTCTTGGAGTTACCTTCAACAAGGATGTGTGCTTTAACTCTCAGATTAAACAAACTTCATGGACCGCCTTTTTTCACCTGTATATTGAAAATCAGGCACTTCCTGTCTCAGTGAAAAATGAGTCTTGTGCTAGACTAGATAGTCATAATTCTTTATGATCAGGCTGCTCGTATGAGTCTCTTAAGCCTCTGCAGTTGATTGAGAATACTGCAGCACGTGTATTAACAAGAGCTAACAAAAGGGACCACATCTCATTAATGCACACCACTAATTCAGCTACGTCCCCATTTCTTGTGCTTTCTCTCCTCCCAGGTTTCCACGGATCATGGTTATATCTGGACTCTGGTCCTGCCAGAGCTTATTAGAGGGGCCCGATCATAAAGAATTGACGTAATCCAGTCTAGAGTAACAAACGCATTAACTTATTTTTGTGCATCACTTTCGATATATTACGTACAGTAGATGAGAAAAGGCATTTCTTGAAGTATGTTAAAGGACACGTCGTGGGTGAAGATAACTCCAAGATTCAGAACAATGCAAAAAACAAACAACATGGTTGTTCCTTCTTTGTTTTGAATTATTTGCTAATATATAAACTACAAAGAAAATGTTTTTATTTCTAAAATAATTACATATTACTTTACTTTTCACCTAATAGTTTATTTACATTTTGTCACACAACTGATTTGCAACTTCTTTCTTAAGGATCTTAGAGAGGAAGGGAATATTGGAGAAAGGTCTGTAGTTACCCAACACCTGTGGAGCAAGAGTAGGTTTCTTAAGAAGAGGTACATGTCCCATCAAACAAAGACAGTGTCCCGTCAAATAAAGACAGATTGATAATATCCAGTAAAGTAACTAAAGTTGTTTAATGGGAATCGGCTCCAGGAGACAGATAGAAGGTTAGAAGATAGAAGCTGTAGAAGTCAGTTCATCCAGGTCAACGGGAGAGATGCACTACAAGTGTGTCTCCAGCCCACTGCTGCCTCCAAGGTTCCTCCTGGTTGGAGGCAGCAGACCATCAGTTGTCTCTCTAATAGTTGGAATCTCATCATGAAGTCGTTACTACTGAGGTCCAAAGAAACACACGACTCGACAGAACTGTGACTCTGCTGAAGAGAAACCTGTTGTTTTAATCGTTCCTATTAACGATGAGTAACAAGCTGATGTTGCTTCACGAGCATCACTTCTTATCTGCTGTCTCGCCAAACTACACCTGGTTTATTCTAGTTTAACGCCACAACCTTTCAAGGTTGTATCGGCTGTATCGCTGTTTCGTATTGCAAGTTGGGTGTGAAAGACTGAGAACCAGATTTTCAAATGAGTTATAATATAGTTTAGATTGAAGGTTTATTGAAAGTCTAGAGTCAAAAAGAGGCGCTATTCATCTTCCTCAGCCGGTGAGGAATGTGAGTATTAACATGACTTGGTGGAGTGGATTCCTTTAAGCTGACATATTCTCCATCCAACAGCCGAGTTGCAGTAAGACAAAATTGATAAATATGATGATCTGACATTAAGTCATTTATTAAAACCGCTTTAGATGAAAAATAGATAATATTTAAGAGTCCATATTATCATATTCTGTTGTCTCTTGCGCTTTATTAAGTTAATCAGTTGAACTCCTCCTTTGATTCAAATAACGCTAGTTATGTATTGTTCATAGGAGAGAGTCATGTGTTCAGTTAATTCTTCAAGGTCCGGTCTGCCGAATATGACTCAACCGTGGATATTACACATCCTTTGAATGGTGTTCAGTTTCCTTTGCTTTCATTCTTCGGTGTAGGAGAAGGTGCTGGTGAAATAACTGAAGCAACACTGACGCAAAAAGAGTTGCACCAACCAGAGAACGCTTGGTCGCCTATATCTCCTAGTAATGGGAGTGCTTGTCAGTTTACTAAGGATATATATATATATATATATATATATATATATATATATATATAAAAAAAATATATATAAGAAAATATGTCAGTATGTAACGATTATATATAATATATATAATATATATATATTATATATATATATTATATATATATTATATATAATATATATAATCGTATATAATATATATAATATATATATATATAAAATCTATATATATATAGATAAAATCTATATATATATAAAAAAAATATATATAAGAAAATATGTCAGTACGTAACTATTATATATATTATATATAATATATATATATTTTTTTTTTTAATATTTTGTCGGGAGGGGAACCGGAGTCGATGGAATTGGATGTGTCGCGGGAGCACGTGACTGGAGACACACTCTGCATTACATTTGATAGATGAATATCCCACATGTGTGTTAAACAGCTTTAAGCTGCTCCCGGTGGTAAATAAAATGATACAAATAAAACAATAAAAGTATGAGATGAAATATGTCTCACGCGGCGTTGGTTGAGCCGGCAGGGAGAACAAAGCAGCAGTTCCGGGTCAAGGTTGGTGCGGACGGGAAAAAAAGGGGGAAAGGACACGCGCGCACCGTGTCGCGCTACCACGTTAGCGTCCAGGTGACCGTTACCTTAGCGGCTGGCATTTCTGCGCAATTAATGCGGCTTTTGCGAACTTATTTCGATCGGCGACAACATCGCGGGTCAGAGGAAGAAGACGCGGGGCTCGACCCTCAGCGGCAGCGAGGCTGAGCGTGAAGTTTATCCGCTGGCGTGACGACCTGCGCCGCCTCGCTAGCTAAAACCAGCGCGCCCACCAGCTTCACCACCAGAAGAAGACTCGGCGGGATCTCCCGGAATACAACGGGTGAGTTATCAGTGAACGTTCTGCCAAGTAACGCTATGAACATCTATCTCCGTGTGTATCGCCCCATAGTTGGCGCTAAATTAGCTTAGTTTAAATTAGCTTAGCACCTGCCACGTTGCCTACAGATGAACTTAAGCTTTGGCTAAAATGGTTGTGCCATCTTAAGGCAGTGGCTAACGTTAGCCATGCTATCATCTGAACGTACGCCAGCTAAGATGAACTACAACACATGCCCTCGTGAGAGTTTAATTTTAACAAGCATTAAGGGTAACCGTGGACCTCGGGATCAATTTTGCTTTGTGAAATCTATTGATCTGACGTTAGCCGTTAACGGCTCAAAGTGAAGGCTGCTAGCTAAAGGTGAACTCTGACCCGCCAGCCTCGGGACTCGGTGTGAGTTGAGGCCGCAGCGCTGACGCTGAAAGGCGTCCGGTGGAATGACGGCCCGTACCGGTACCCGGAGCGGTGACGTGACGCCCGTCCGGTCCCTAATGGCGCGTACCGAGTGCTACCGGCAGGGGGCCACCGCCCATGATATTTACCCCGTCAATAGCATTAAATGCAGTCCAAAATGTGAGATCATTTTAATCTATTGACAGCCCTAATCTGTGGCCGTCAACTCATTAATATATGAGATCATTTTGTCAGCAATTCATGTGATGAACTATTTTGATGCAACTTAATTTTATTATGTTTCAATCCAACATAAAACCGCCGCGTGCTGCAGTCAGTTAGATGGAGGTGAGACAAATTAAAAGTATGGTCTTTGACAGGCTGAGGTCATTTGGCAAGCAACAACACAAGAAAGCTCTTTTAGTGCAGACGTATTGCTGGTGTACCACTGGTTAAGCCATTAGCGGGAGTGTTTAGGGTTGCTCACTGTTTCATTGCATGCAGTCGATAACCATTATTGTAAGTTTTTATGTTTAATATACTTTTTGCCTGTTCTCAGGTTTTCCACTGCATCTTCTCTCAAGATTTGTGCAAACAACAAAGAAGCAGTGAGTATTTGAAATATACTATTTACTGGATTGAATTAGTCAAGCAAGATTCTCATTTGGAATTGTGAACAGTTTGACTCGAGGATGAAATGTTTTTCTCAGTTGAAAGATCATTTTAAACATTTTTGTTTTTGCATCCAACAAGCTTAGAACTCATAGAAGTATTGTTAACTTGACTTTAGCTTGATGGGTGGAACAACATATGTGTAAACAATACTGCAAATATAAATAAATAAACACAAACTACAGCTTCAAACGGTTTCACTTCAAACTATGAACAATATATTAACTGTTTACAGTAAGAACCGGAAGTGTACATATTAGTTCAATGGAATTTTGGGATTATTAATCATTTAAATTTAGAGTTATGCTCATCGTGCATTAACTAAAGATATGTAACGTATATTAAAATGCATTTATACTCAGTAGGATGAATAAAGTTTTTCAATTGGCTCAGGCACCAATATGGTACGGGTTCTTGGTACCCAGTCCTAGTGGTATTTCATCATTTTACTTCTCCTATTAGACAAAAGTCAGGGCCGTGTAACAATGTAAGCTTTTAAGGAGATGGTGTGCAGACATTTATTGTGATTAATAACATCTAAAACTAAAGATTATAATGACCAGAAATTGTTATCCAACAATCTGTAACATTTGTGTTTAGGTCTTTGATGTGATTTTACATTCAGAAGATCAAATTTTAATTGACAGATACATCTGTAATAGAAATTGTAATTTGGTAATTAATGGCTGTTAAAATTGATAGGATTTTTTACTGACCGTATTGTGTGTGTGCAAATGTTTTTTTCAGATAACGCCCAGTGCTCACGCGTCTGTTGATGAGAGGTGACAAAATAATGGGCAGCTAGGATTCACAAACCTGCCAAAATGTCATCAATCTTAGGACTACCCAAACAGTACTCTGATGTAACAGTCCTCATTAACAGCGTCCACCTGCATCCCTTCTGTGTGCTTGTGGAGTTCTGGGGGAAATTTAGCGAGGGGAATGCGGCAGATTATAAGTGCCTCGCCAAAGAGATTCAGTCTCCTGGAAAAGCTTTTCAAGAGTTTGAAGGAAATCCTGGAGACCAGTGCTTGGTTGAAGTAGATGGTAATTGGAACAGATCCCGTATCGTCTCAAGAAATGGCTCGGTGTACACTGTGTTCCTCTTTGACAAAGGGAGGACATATAGCACTACCACACGTCAGCTTGCATGGGGCAAGAAGAACCACTTCCACCTGCCACCCGAAGTGGAATTTTGTGTCCTAGCCAATGTGTTACCACTCTCACCTGAGAAAAGATGGTCACCGGTGGCTCTTGAGTTTCTAAAATCTCTCTCCGGGAAGTCTGTGCAGGCACATGTGCAAAGTGTACTTGTTCCGCACAGAACAGTTCTCCTGCACATCCCTTGCATTTCCAAACAGATGTACGAGATGGGAATTGCCAGGAAGCTCTCTCCAGATGTGTTCCAGGACTTTGTCCTTATGTCGCTGCAGTCACAAAAGGGAGCGAGGGCATGTTCAGAGACTGGGATCTCCATGGGGCCAGCTGAGCGACTGCATAAGAAAGAGCTCTTCATGTACCCAGAGCTTTCCGCAGGAACCGTGGAGACCGTCATAGTAACCGAGGTGACAAATCCCCACCGGGTGTTTTGCCAGTTGAAGGTCTTCTCACAGGAGCTGAAGAAACTCTCGGGCCAAATCACACAGTGCTGTGAGGGCAGAACAACCAATTGCATTGTAACTCCAGACATGATAGGGTTTCCGTGCGCTGCCAGAGGAAGTGATGGCAGCTGGTACCGCTGTGTTCTCCAACAGGTATGCCCCAAAAACAATATGGTTGAAGTGTTACACGTAGACTACGGAACAAAACAGTTTGTTCAAATGGAGAATGTAAGACCACTGGCTGCAGAGTTCTTCAGAATGCCTGTCGTGACTTACATCTGTTCCCTCCATGGAATCATTGACAAAGGGGTTGGATGGACAACCTCCCAGATTGACTATCTCAGGACCCTTCTTATGCAAAAGACAGTGATTGCCAAATTTGAGTATCAAAGCATCTCTGAGGGTGTTTACTACGTCACGCTCTATGGAGATGAAAACGCAAGCATTAACAACCTGTTTGGATCCAAGGAGAGCTGTTTCCTGGAGATTGAAAAAACACTTGATTATGCCATCCGCAACACTGCATCCAAGCGTTCAACTCCAAAAGAAGGAAACCAAAGAAAGGCGCTCACTCCTGTCCTCTCTCTCCACTCCATGCATGCAGTGTCAGTGAAGCACATATCTGACCCATCAGCGTTTTGGATCCAAACGCAGACTTATGCAAATGAGTTTTCTGAACTGATGGATAGTATTTACCATCTGTACAAGGATCCGGAAAATGAAGATGTGGTGAAAAATCCGACCGTTGGCCTCTACTGTGCTGCAGAAGCAGAAGATGGTAAGCTCTACAGAGCAATGGTGACTGAAGGTGGTGAGACACAAGTCAAGGTGTTCTTTGTTGATTGTGGAAATATCAAAATTGTTGACAGGAGGAACATCAGGACCCTTCCTGATGATTTAAGGAAGCTGCCATGTCTTGCACTTAAATGCTCCCTGGCTGGTGTTCAGCCAAAAGATGGGAAATGGAGTCACAGCGCTTGTGATTTTTTTATCAAAGCAGTCAAAGATAAAAATCTAACTGTGCACGTGACAGCGAAATATGATGAGGGCTATTCTGTCCAACTAATTGACCCTGAAGCACAAGGAGAAAGAGATCTTGGCACTCTGATGTGTAACTCTGGCCATGCTGAAAGGGCTGAGCCGCAGCAACAACGGCAAACCAAAATGACCACACTACCTGCTCTCCTGCCACAAGTCCCTGATGGCAGGCTCTTGGGTCCATACAGCAACAAAGGAATGTCTTTCCAGGCAACCCTGAACACCGTTGCCCCGGATGGTAAGGAAAGACTAATTCCAACATTCAAAGAGCACATGTTTCCCATTGGAAGTGTCATTGATGTCAATGTGTCCTACATCAAAAGCCCAAATGACTTTTGGTGCCAACAAGTACAGAATGCCGGGCATTTGAAATTGCTCATGCATGACATACAGGCTCATTATACTGGCAGTGAGTTCCAACCCAATGTGGAAATGGCTTGTGTCGTTCGCCACCCCGATAACCGAATGTGGTACAGGGCCCTTGTAATCCACAAACATGAGACGCCTGATGTGGACGTGTTACTTGTTGACTATGGTCGGATGGAGACCGTTTCCCTCTATGACCTGAGGAAGATCAGCCCACAATTCCTTGCTCTGCAAGGCCAAGCATTTCGATGCAGTCTGTTAAACCCTGTTGACCCCACATCTGCCGTAAATGAGTGGACTGAGGAAGCAACCGCAGAGTTCCACAACTTTGTGGAAACCGAAGCCTCCAACTTTAAGATTTTGAAGTGCACCATATATGCTGTCATGTACAGCGAGCAGAAAATAGTTTTCAACATTGTGGATCTGGAAACTCCTTTTGAAAGTGTCTGCACCAGTATGGTCAATCTGGTCAAAAGTTCCCCACCCAGGAAAGCTGCTGGGCCATCTTTCCGATTGGACACTTACTACTACTCGACACACAATGTCAAAACTGGAACAGAGGAACCGGTCACAGTGACCTGTGTGAACAGCGTCCATGAGTTTTACTGCCACCTTGAAAAAAACGCTGATGTAATAAAAGATCTCATGATCAAAGTGAGAAATCTTTGTCAACAGCTTGAGAATTTAAAGCTCCCAACCGTCTTTGGAACTTTGTGCTTTGTGAAATACACCGATGGACACTGGTACAGGGGACAGATCAAGGCCACGAAGCCAGCGATTTTGGTTCACTTTGTGGATTATGGGGACACCATTGAGGTGGAAAAGTCTGACTTGCTTCCAGTTCCCAGAGAAGCTAATGACATCATGGCTGTGCCTGTGCAAGCAATTGCGTGTAGTCTGTCTGATGTCCCTGCCAAAGCTCCCACTGAGATGAACCGCTGGTTTGAGACGAGTGCAACAGAATGTAAATTTAGAGCACTAGTGGTGGCCCGAGAACCTGATGGCAGACTGCAGGTGGAGCTGTATCATGGAAACACTCAGGTCAATTTGAAGATCAAGAAGATGTTTCAGATTGAGAAGCAAGAAGTGAATGTTGTCAACCAGAGTCAGAGGGCACTCAAGGATTCAGAAAATTCTGCTCACAAGAATTCAAAAGTTGTCCCAAAACAAGCCGCAGGAATGGATGATCGCATTAAAATCATCAGTGAAACTGCCTCCGCTCCAACACGAGCGTGTCAAATGTGGAACGCCGATCTGAGCCTGCAGTCTGCAGCGAAGCCTCTGAGCCATGTTTGTGAAAGTGGCCGAAAAATGAGAGCAGATCCTATTGAGTTCTACATACCTCCACACAAAAGACAGTCATGTGGACAGACCCCAAGTGGTACAGAAAGTGTCTCCGAGCCGACAGGTGCCCATCTCAAAACCAAAAACACCACAGAAACAAAACCGCTCCTCAAGTCCATATCCCCTGGCACTGAATCTCAGAAGGAAAGCCATGTGGAAAAGTTCCCTAAACTCGCAGACCTACCGCCAAGCTCCATCACAACAGGTATGGAAGCAGATGTTTATGTCTCGCACTGCAATAGCCCTTTGAGTTTCTATGTGCAACTTGTCAGCGAGGAGGAGGAAATATTCTCCCATGTGGAAAAGCTAAATGAGCCCCAATCAACACCCCAATGCGACGCGGTCAAAGATGTGTGTCCAGGTGACCTTGTTCGAGCTGAGTTCGCAGATGATTCCTCGTGGTACAGAGCCATTGTAAGAGAAGTCCGTGGCAAAACGATGGCCCTTGTCGAATTTGTTGATTTTGGGAACACCGCAATAATCCCAATTTCCAGGATTGGGAGACTCCAGGAGGGCTTCTTGCACCATCCCGTCTACAGCACTCACTGTATGCTGAGTGACGCTGTCGGTCTTGCGAAGGAGGAGGTGCTTAAACCAGAGGTGGTGTCAGCGTTCAAAGACCTAGGTGGTAATGGAGAAAAGGTTCTCAAGTGCCACTTTGTCAGGCAGTCAGGATCTGTGTGGGAAGTCAGGCTTGAAGGTGTAAATGCCATTTGTAAAGTCCCTCCTGATGATGGCACTAAAATTGCCTCAGTGGAACCAATCGAAGTCCAGCAACAGGCTGGCCACATCTTGCAGACTGTGCCTGAGAAATCACTGCCAACACCCTCTCCACGTTATCACCAAGTAGAGTTTGTGAAGGGACAACGGTTAGAAGTCTACATCACAGCTATAAATGATGCTCAGACCTTTTGGTGTCAGCGCACGGACTCCGAAGACCTTGAGAAGGTTACATCGAGTGTCTCTAAACTTTTGGATGGGGCTGATCACAAACCCGTTGACCCGGGCTCTGTGTCCCGTGGCAGCCTATGTATCGCTCTCTTCTCAGACGATGGTTTTTGGTACCGTGCAGAGGTCATCGACAAAGATGGAGATGAGCTGTCGGTTCTCTTTGTGGACTATGGGAACGAGACCCAACTCAACTTTGCAGATGTGAGGGAAATGCCCCCTGACCTGATGGAAACCCCTCCACAGGCCTTCTTGTGCGAGCTTGAAGGCTTCGATGCTTCACGTGGATCCTGGGACAGCGGTGGAGTAGATGCATTGTCAATGCTTACAGCAGACAAAGTGTTACAGCTGACTGTCACCAGAGTAACGAGAGAAACGGGAACAGTCAAATGCCTCGTGAGGATGGAATGTGAAGGCCAGGTGATAAATGAGGCACTGAAAACCAGGTGGAGGGAAAACCAGCCGGGTGGTGTTGGAGCAACCACTTTGTACCAAACTTCGTTACAATGTGACTTGCCTGTGAAAGCGACTGCGCCACTCGAGGATCAACTTGAGCATGACAAAGGCCAAGACACGCAGGCCGCTGTTGCTAGCCTTTCCCGTCGGATAAACCAAAGTGACGAGCTCGACCCCCTCCGAGACGGGTTGCCATGTAATCGCATACAGGAAACCGGGTTACCTCAACTCCATGACAAAAGTGACCCACGTGTTCTGACCGTGAGCTGTGACAAAAGTGTGGTGGAAAATGAAGCCGAAGGGGTTTTCTTGGCAACCGACATGCGGCCAGATGACTTTAATCTTCAGTCAGATGAGAAGCCAGCGGAGGCCATAGGTCACCTCGCAATGACCGACTCCGAGGGAAACTTGGACATCATGAATTTGTCTCGTGAACAAGGTAATTTTATCTTTCGTCAACATTATGCTGCATTCGTGCTGGTCAAATAAGTAGCAAATATAAACATAATCATTTGTATGTGGAAAGTGGATGTGTAACAAAGAATCATTTTGTTTGCATTACCAGTCTTGTCCGAGGAAAGTGATAAAAGCACGGCTGCTATGGGAAGAGATACTGCTGTAAACAAAACGGATGCAGTGAAAATGGTAAGTTCACACTGCTGACTTGTGGGTAAATGCTCTTGATGGAATCAAATTGTGTGTTGTTCTTAAAAGGTTTCCTGTGAATCATTTTGGCCCAAGGAGAGCGTTGATCCGCTGGAGACACATGACCACGTTTCTAAAGACTTAAAACTGGTACTGGCACTTTGTTACCCCTTGCATTGGTTTTGTGTTTTTGTCATCTTGTAGATTGCGACTGAAGTGGTGCTGTCCTGCTGTGTGCTTCGGCCGCTTGGTGAGGGATTCCTTCATATTACCGTGACACACTCACTGTGGATTCATTTTGAAACCAAATGTATTTTCACCAGAAACTCAAGCTGCAGGTGGAAATCGATTTAAATCGCAAAAATGTGCAATGTCTATTATCGTGTGTTCTGAAAGTGCTTTGTTTTTCATAGATGTTCCTACAGAGCAGGAGATGAACCTGGAAGATGGCGTCGCCAAGGAGACGCTGCCGTGTGTCAACGCACATGTTGAAGTAATGCTATAGAAAATCTGTATTCTGGATTTGTGTTTTATTCCTTCTTGCGCAGTAAATTGTACATCATCTGGTTTTAGAATGACTCGATGACTGTGGCGGAGACTGTGGCTCCTCACGAGGCTGGATATTCAGGTTTCATGACAGTACAACATTGCACCCTCCTAATATCCCGTGTCAAATATGAATAGAGAAGCTGTAACTAAACCACGTAAATCATCTACATCTCAGGAAAAGGCTTCTCTTTATCAGCCGATAACTAAAATCCAGGTATTGTTATCGGCACTGAAGTAGTCTGATCTAAAGAATGTGTCTTTGTATCTGCAGCCATCGAGACACAGAGCGGCACTGCCGCCTCCCAAGACCCGGTAAAGCATTTAAATCGGCACAAGTCTCAAGTCAGACTCCAGTCTTTAAGTCTCAACTGTGAGTTTGCCTTTATTGCTGCTCAGGAGGAGGAGGCCACCCGTTCTGTTGATGAGGAGGAGGCCACCCGTTCTGTTGATGAGGAGGAGGAGGAGGAGGCCACCCGTTCTGTTGATGAGGAGGAGGAGGAGGAGGCCACCCGTTCTGTTGATGAGGAGGAGGGGGAGGCCACCCGTTCTGTTGATGAGGAGGAGGAGGAGGCCACCCTTTCTGTCGGCGATGAGGAGGAGGAGGAGGAGGCCACCCTTTCTGTCGGCGATGAGGAGGAGGCCACCCTTTCTGTCGGCGATGAGGAGGAGGCCACCCTTTCTGTTGGCGATGAGGAGGAGGCCGCCCTTTCTGTCGGCGAGGAGGCGGAGGCGGCCCGTTTTGCCGGCGATGAGGAGGAGGCCGCCCGTTCTGTCCGCGAGGAGGAGGCGGCGGCCCGTTCTGTCGGCGAGGAGGAGGCGGCGGCCCGTTCTGTCGGCGAGGAGGAGGCGGCGGCCCGTTCTGTCGGCGAGGAGGAGGCGGCGGCCCGTTCTGTCGGCGAGGAGGAGGCGGCGGCCCGTTCTGTCGGCGAGGAGGCGGCGGCGGCCCGTTTGGCAGACGTCTCTCCAGGTATGAGCCGTGGTGATTGTCGTCTTGTCGGATGCAGCGTGACTTGTTGTGTGTTTTTGCACCGCAGACACAAACAAGCCAAGTGATGGATGGACGAGCCGCAGTGCAACAGATGCTGATCTCAGCACCTGGTCAGCAGAGGTAATTGGCATCGCATTGCGTGTCCTATGTATGTTCTGTGTTTCTGGTTAGCAGCTCTGACTGGGTTGGAGACTAAATTCAAATATCAGACTGTTCAAAGGTGAATTCTGCAAGCCAGAGCAGCCAGATGTTTAGTTCAGGATAACGTACATTTTCATCACTATCGTGAGCTACTGACAACTTTGCTGCCTGTTTTTTTTATTTTTTTTTTAACAAATTCTTAATTTAAGTTTTCCACTCGTTAAATAAATGGAAGGTCTTATACTTTTTGAAAATCTAGTGCAATTATTGAGTTGCCTTCACAGCAGCTTAATAAACTACAGTGATGAATTGGTTGGTTGTGGCTTTACTATACAAGACAGCGAGTGAAAGAAGAATAAAAGCTTATCAGTACTGTTGGGTTGAAATTGTATTTGTCATCAAAATGTCTACATTTCTTACTTGGTAGATCCAACGTGAACCCCAGCTTCCACAACAACTAACCGGTGAGTCATTGATTCTACAGTAAACGCTGAGATGGTCAAGAATAGATGGCGCAGGTTTAATATGCGTAAGTGTGAGGTTTGTAGAAAGAGATTCTAGTGTAAAGGTGTATTCTCCTCTTAGCGACCCTGGTTCCCAGCGGCTCGGTTGGTCCGTCGTGTTGTTTAATGACCTACAGTCTGATTGTCTTCACAGGGCAGGAAGTGGGAGACTTTTCCCTGCAGAGCGAGGCCATGCTTAATAAGGTAGAGTAGAACACGTCAACGCAAAGGATGCTTAAAGCAGTTAAATGAAAAAGAAGTAACCGTCTGGATCGTGTGTCATTGGGTGATCAGACATCACATTCGATCATTTATCATCTCATTTCTGCCACATGGTCCGCACGTCCTGCCGCACATGTAATGTATGTGATAAAGCGCTGAAGTCATTGACTTCTGCTCCGTACACAGATACAGGGGTCAAAGTGGTATGAGGAAGGAACGAGTGGAATAGTGTCACTATGAATACTCACTTATTGGTGTTCTGTTCCAGACTACAGACGGGACCCCGGACCTTCACGGAGATCACCTTTTTGGTTGGTTGCCATCTTTTATTGCTTGTATGTCACATCGGAATGATGACGCGAGCACATTCCTCTTCTCCTTCCAGTGTATTTTATTCCGCTGATAATAACGGCCCCTTGTGTAACGAGCCGCTCTGTCTGCAGCTTTGCCATCTGACGGCGACGCGGCGGAGTACGCGGCCCGCTGTCCAGACCTGGTAATGGACTCCCATCAACCCGCTTCCACAATGTAACACCAACCGATGCCGTCAGGAAAACCCTGTGTGTTGCTTTTCAGAGTGACCTGATTAAAGAAGTGACCGGAGGGACCGGCGTCTGCAGAGGTATCGCAACTGATCAAGTTCTGCATGCATTTTAATGGTCAATCCGTTTGGATGAACATTGTTTTTCAAGCAGGTTGTTCTTTTGTTACATCAGGTGCACATCAGGAAGCTGCGAGGGACTCCGGCCCCCCCAGTCCTGGAGAGGTAGGTGTGAAAGAGGACTAGGCCCCGCCCCCTACTCCATCTATCAAAGCTGCGTTGTTACTAAATACATAGGATGTCGTTTTGGGAGCAAAACAAAGGTATTTCAGGGAGAATCGGACAGTTTGTGCTTGAGGGATTCGTCACGAGAAGCTCAGCTTCGGATCACTGCGGAGATGAAAACCGTTCTGTAAAGCTGGAGAGTCTTTGGTCGTTTTTCTTCACATCCTTCAGTGACCTGCGTAGCATACAATCACTGCACAATGGCTACACACACACACACACACACACACGTCGCCTTCCAGAACCCCACCTGGACCTGTGTAATTGTACACACCCCATCTGTGTACAGCAAAAAAACAACCAAGTGCGTTTTCGTTGTAGCTGCATCCGTTTGCCTGTTCATGTTTTAAGCTCCATTTTGAAATAATTCATTTAGAAGCTTATAAAAATTATGCAATTCCACACAATTTCCTTTTTTATTCTGAAAACTCCTTTTGCCAAACATTTAACAAACATGTTTATGCATCTACCTGGACACGGATGTATAAAGTACTTTCCTCCAGACGGAACGGAAGTCGGCAGGTTGAGACGTGTGAACGTGTGAGATGGTGTTTTTACAGGAAGGAATCTGTCCATGATTGCGTGTTGCCTGTGATCCTTTTTGTACCTTTGTTTTTAGAGGCCGAGCTGTCGAGGATTACTCATCTCTCTGATCAATGAAGATAATCAGCAGCAGCCGGAGGAGTAACTACTGTTTTCTTCATTTTCCTTTTACCAACTGCTTTAAGTTGCAACATGTTCAGTTCCTTTCTTTGTTAATGCTCAACGGCAGCTTTTAGTTTTTTTCATTTATTCCTTTCTTGCTATTGCAGACTAATTCTGGTTGTACAGTAATGGCATTAATGAGTCAGTCAGCACTGTTGTTACAGCGTTCACATGATTCCTGTTTCCCTGAAACAAAGCAGCTCTGAATGGTTGTGAAATGCAGATGTTTTCTGTAGCTCTATTTGTGTTGGCACAATAAATCAGTTCTGATCTGTAAGGCCTCTTCACATGTATAAGTCCATATGTAGCCCCAACCTGCACACATGAGTGAGTCTTTCAGATGTTTCCATGGTTACCAGGTGTAGAGATGGAGTGAATGGATGAGGTCTGACGTCTGTACAATGCCTCTCCCTTTAAATGATGCTGGATATTTACTCTTATGCACTGCTGGAATATTCTGGGACATCAACGCATCCATGTGGCTTCACATGAAAATGTCTGGCAACTTCACACCAAAGAGGATCGATTCCATTACAGGCCTTTAAAAAGCAGACCCGATATATAAAGCAGTTGCAAAGATATAAATTTGTATACAAAGGATTTATTGGATTGCTGGAGTATAAAAGTAGAAAGCTTCTTAGTGTTAAAGCTCTGAATCAGGATGGATACTTGCCGTTTGATATCTGTTAGATTAATAATTCATCTGCAATATTACATTAGTTGGATTGCATCCTCTTTATAGGTCGATTCCAGAATCGCAGTGTGTGGAACACGTGATCTCAGTTCATAAACACTCAAAGATGAAAATGATTAAAAGGCATTTCTTCAAGAACGTCTTGGTAATAGTGAAGATTTCACAGACAGTGAAAAGTTGAAGCCTCCTGAAACAACAGCAGGTTTGATCTGCCACGAAAAACTAAATGTTCCCCGTCGAGGTAGTAGAGCTCGTCCCCTCAGTCGCCTCACATGGAGGACTGGAGCACCGTGATGTTGGTGCCCTGAATCAGGTTCTCATCCTGCCCGTCGATCAGAGGGTCCCACTGATTAAAGTTCTTCTGCAGCCCTGCAAAACCCAGAATGACAGTGAGCTGGGGGGGGGCGGACGGGGGCGGCGCCCGCTGCCTCGTTCTTACCAAGGTGGCGCTGCAGGAAGGCCAGCGTTGCGTTGTTGCAGAGGTCGATGGCGACCTCGGGGTCGATCTCCCCCTTCAGCTTCATCAGCTTGCCGATCCAGTTGCCCGTCAGGAAGGTGAAGTCGGGGAAGCTCTGGTGGACGGTGCCTCTGCCAGGGGAGACATGGCCAGCCGGTCAGGACGCGGCGCATTTCTACGGGAGCAACGAGGAGCCGGCTCAGCCTGCCGTCTACCTGATGGTGATCATCTTCCGCTGCAAGCCGGTGGAGTACAGCTTCTTCATGCGGCTGATGTTTCCCGCCCACTGGAACTTCTCCGAGTTGATGAAGAAGAGGGGCTGCTTCACCTGGATCTCCTCATCCAAAGGGAACATCCAGGAGTCCAGCGCTACGCCACACCTGACGGAGGAGAGAAGTCCCTAGTGGCTCACAGCATAAATGACACGTGTGTGTGTGTGTGTGTGGAGGAGGCGGATGTGCTCCTGAAATCCACTTACTTGAATTTAACCTCTTTGCGCAGAGCCTCTATCACCGTTGCCCCCCCGAAGGAATGCCCCACCGCCGCTATCCTGCACAGATCCATGGAGTTCTGTTGCCGTGGCGACCACAGGACATGGACGGTGAGTGATCACAACGAAAGGCTGATTAAACACACGGACGAAGCCAGCGTGTCACCCCGACGCTCACTTTAAAACCAGATCGTTTTCATCTCTGGTGTTACGCTTCTAAAAATGACTGCAGTGTTTTAGTCCGTGTGAATATCCACGAGCCTTAAAATAAAATGAACATCATCACGTCATTTAGCTGACGCTTTTATCCAAAACGTCTTAAGTGCATTTCAACCATAAAGAAACAAACAGAACAAACAAAGTGCTACACGTTGTTTAGTGTTTTGTATTCCAGCTTATGACGTTTCTTACTTATTTATATTGTGGGATCACTAAATCTTTTGTTGCCGCTGCATTTTTGCAGGTTTTGAAGGAGACATATTCTGAAAATCGCACTTTTTTTTAGTGCTTCTACACGTGGCTCATTAGCAGTTAAAGGTCACTGTGGATCCTTTAGACGAGGTAACAAGGTGCTGTTTGAAATGATCCTTGTATCTATTTTGTTGTTTATGTCGCAGACGTTTTATTAAGGAACCATATCAGCATAAAATGGGCATACGAGAGTCCTACCTGCAACGTGGTGAAGTCAAACTGGGTTTGCAGAACATTTTCCACTGGGACCCCAGAGTTGATTTCAGTGAGTCTCTCCAGAGCCCGGATGCATTCATCTGCTCTCAGTTTCACCTACACGTGACACACGTGAAGAAAAAGCACATGCTAGATATCATCACACCAACCCAAACTCGGCACAATGAAGTGAAGTGCTGAGACACAGAGCTTTGGGGGGGTCTCGACTCGACAGGCTGCTCACCTGTTTGTTCCGGAGGGGGAACTCGCTCTCGCCGCGCTGCAGACTCCTGTAGTACATCCACTCCCTCACCAGGTGGTCCTGGGCCGAGGCACGGGCTTCAGGCGCGCTCTTGTTCGCCTTCTCTGACGCCGTCTTCTCACGGAAAAAATAGGTAGCTGAGGCCGACTCGTCTCTGCGCGGGGAAGCAAAACTGTGCTGTGAAATTATACTGCGACAAAGGCGAGAGAAAGAAGGTACGTAAGGTGTTATGGGAAGGGGATCGTAGTCAGTGTGCTGCAGGAGGGGCACTAACCCAATGACACCTGTACCTTCTAAAGTGGACAGTAGCTGTTCTCTATGCGCTCTTCAAACACACCAGACTCCATGGACATAAACTGCTTGTTCCTCCTCACTGAGAGCAAAACACTCCACTCATCTATAGCAAATTGTAAATTGGCTTATTTGATTTCACTTTATTTCTTGCTCTTCTGAGTTTGTATCCTTGAATGTACTTATTGTAAGTCGCTTTGGATAAAAGCGTCAGCTAAATGACATGTGATGTGTCACAGGTGAATCAGTCCTCTCAGGAGTTTGTGCTGTGTGTGTGTGTGTGTGTGTGTGTATAATATACAGTATATATATATATATATATACACACACACACACACACACATATATATACACATACATACATATGTACGTATACATACGTACGTACGTATACATATATATATATATATATATGTATATACATGAATACATTCATACATATATATATATATACACATACACATATGTATACATATATATACATACACATATGTATACATTATGTGTATATACACACATATACACACACATATATACACATACACATATATATATACACACACATATACATACATACATACAAGTACATCCAGAAGGTATTGACAGTGCTTCACTTTTGTTTCAGTCATATTCCAAAATAGAATAAATTCTTTTTTTCCTTTAGACACAACGGCCCTTAATTCTTTCTTTGCAAATCTATTAAAAATAAAAAACAAGTATTGACAGCCTTTGAGCTCAGAGCGTCCTGATTCACTGATCATTCTTGAGATGTTGCAGCATTGAGGGAAAGATGAATGCAGCAATGTACAGAGACATCCTGGATGAACACCAGGCGACGGTTCATCTTCCCACAGGAGAACGACCCGACGCACACGGCCAAGACAACAAAGGAGGCTCTGGGACAGCTCCAGTGTCCCCGACTGTCCCAACCAGAACCCTGACCTGAACATCTGTGGGGAGATGTGAAAATGCACCGACGCTGCCCATCCAACCTGATGGAACCTGAGCGCTTCTGCAAAGAAGAACGGACGAAATGCCCAGTGTGCGTATGAGCGTTGGCGATGGGTCGTTGCTGCGTCTCCCTGCAGGACGACCACCCGAAAGACACACACACAGGGCAACTAAGGAGAAGCTCCGTGAGAAGCATCTCAAAGTCCTGAGGAGGCCGGACCTGAACCCAGTAGAAAGTCTGTGCTGCCCCGCGACAGCCCCGAAACCTGACGGATCTGGAGAAGGTCTGTGTGGAGGAGTGGGCCAAAATCCTGCTGCACTGTGTGCAAACCTGTGATGTCTGTAGTTGCAAACAAAGGTTTCTGTACCGAATATTAAGTTTGTCTTTTCTGACGCATCGTGCAATAAACTGCAGAATCCAAAGCCGGGGACATGAAACAAAGTGGCCGACGGACCAGCAGGGGTTAAATGCTTCTGTCAGCGGCGTCCTGCGGCTATGAGGCCTCACTTCCTCTTTACCGGGTCTGACAGGAAGGTAAAGCAGTGGAAATGTTATTGATCCCAAACTATATATAGATAGAACATCTACACAAGGGTCTGAACCTGCTCCCCATCAGAGTCAGTCACTGCGAGTCCAGAGAGAATTCTACCACACACGAGGCTCATCGTCCCTCCTGTTGGACGTGAGGCCACGAATCAACAACGAACGATCCGTGTTCGGCTCTCCGTCCCTCGCGCGCATTAAAGAGGTTCTAGCGCCGATGAGGCGCGGACGCAAAGCGCGTCCCCGTCACTACCCAGAGAGCTCTGTCGCACGCTTTCTCCCTGTGGCTTCATTCGGCAGCACAGCAGTCTGACCACACTGTGGCCATTATGTTCTCCTCCATACGGTCCCCTTGTCTCTACCCTGAACAGAAATGTGATGAGCTGGTTGGTACTTTTGTCTGCACACTTACTCCACAGACAAACAGACGAGCGCCTGGTATTGTTCGCTCGGCTCGCGGTCAGCCGGACCTTCCTCCTCCTGCTGACCCCGCGGCCCCAAATGTACAGCGCACGTAGCGTCAGACGCGGAGAAGCTTCCGGTTCCAGTGACTCGAAGCCCCGCGCGAAGCTCAAGCGTTTTAAAAAGAGGACAAGAGGGCGAGTTAAATACCTGTGTTCCACGGACGCCACGATGAAGCCCCGAGAGGCCAATTCTGCACATATAGCCGAGTACAGAGTCCTGCAGGAGACACCAGGGAGAGGAGCGTCAGGCCGACGGCAGCAAACCGGTCCCTCCTGTGGCAGCGCTCATGCGGGTGTGTGTGTGTGTACCTGAAGGCCCCCAGGCCGTGGGAGAAGATGACCACGGGGCATTTTTCATCGCATTTGAACGGCGCGTCCACGGAGGCCGGAATCTTATAGGAGCCTGAAACCCACGCAGGAAAAAGAAACGCGCTTTTTAAAAGAACAACACCAGCTCACTAGAAGACACAAGAGGCTTCGCGGAACTGACAAGCATCAACATGTCAACATGCATTTGTAAGTTGCTGAAACTTCGTAGAGTTCATTTATTGCTCAATGGAGACCATTTCTGCTTTCATCGTCTCTTGGTAATGTGGTCGAATGTGCAAATAAGATAAAAGTACAAACTAGACTTAGCTGATTTTAACCAACTTCTGCTTTAAGGGAAATAGACCAACAGAAAAGAAAGAAAAACCCCTGGAAATGTACGTGATGCATTTCCACTTAATACAGCTTAACTGCTGAGTTAAGAGTATGAATGTAACTCTGATTATCATTAATGTATCAAAGTTAGGATCAAAAAACATGCAAACTAAAATACTTGTGTATTGTTGAGCACAACTGTTGTTGAATTACCAAAAAGGTAGTTGAAGATCTTTTCACTGAGAGTCCTGTTGATTTTCATGAAGTCTGCCAGACCGTTGTAGTACTCCACGCACGGCACCCAGTCGGGCTTTTCTGCCGTTTCAGTGTGTTGACACGGGTAATAGAGGCGGAAGAAGGTGCCCTGTTCACAGGACGCACACACACACACACGAGAGACAGCAGAGGATGAACTGTACGGACGTACCGCTGGCGTGTCCCCGGCCGGGGGGGCCACAAGGATCCGCCTCACACAGAACCTTCCACCTGCTTCCTGAGTGGCAGGTGGTGAATAGTTTGCAGCACCCGCGGGTGGAGGTGGCTCTTACCTGAGCGGTGTGGTCCATCATGAAGTCGGTGCAGCCCACGGCGTTGGGGCCCTTGGCCGGAGGGATCCCCAGGTGATTACTGCAGGCGTTCCCCATGGCGTGTCCTCCGCTCTGCCACACGGAGACACGCCGGACCCGTCACACGCCGCAAACGTGACCCGTGACTCATGCAAGTCAGGACTCACGGGGGGTCAGAACATGACTTGACAAAAGAGGAGCGGCATAATAAAGCTTAGCTGCTGAGTCAAAGTCCATTTGAAAGGAAACCAGAGTGCGATTACAACTCCCAGTATCACGGCGTAGAGAGGGAGCGCTGGGAACCACAAGGTTGGGGGTTTGAATCCTGGCTGCCACATAAAAAGTGTCCCTGAGCAAGACACCTGACCCTGGCTCCCCAGGCAAAAAAAGTCAGAAGCCATATGGGTCAAAAATGCAATGCAAGTCGCTTTTAAGCGTCAGCAAAGTGACCTGTGACGTAATCATGGAGGTCATTTGTCTTAAGGGAAACGCTGTGTGGAGAATTACATAACTCATTTACCGTCTACCTTGTTTTGCTCTGATTGTTCACTCAATGTGTGAATGAATAATACCTTGATGTGTAACAATAGCAGGATTCCTGCCCGGCTGTGCAATGTGGCGTTTACCTGTCCTTGTCCTCCCGCACGTCCTCTTGCCCAATAACTGCACAAACACCGACTACAGTAGTTTCAGCAGACTTTCCTCAACCACTAAGTGACGTTAGCTACGGAACACACGTATAACGTCAACTTCGGAACGAAGAACGACACCTACCGGATACAGAAGGAGCCCCGTGCCAATGTCGCCGAGTCAGTTTCTCAACATTAGCAGGTAATTCGTCGTCTCCCTCGTACCGTGAATCCAGTGGAACGAGTCGCGGGGAGTGGTGGGACCCGCTGGCTGCGTGAGCCGCAGTGACAGCTAGCCGCTGCTAGCACGGCACGGCGCTAACCCAGAGCGCTGAATGGGACCGGTTCGGTCCAGCTGATACGGAGCCTGTGGTTTTGTTCGCTTAACGTGAATGTTAAAACAAGATAAGTTCACCTCCCTATAAAAAAACAACACGAGTGAAGGGCTGGCTACCAAACGTAGTCGTCATATTTACAGTATTGGCTGCAGCTGTCTGGTGCACGGTGTCCCACATACGCATACACAGAGCGTGACCGAGTCTACATACGGCTCTGCTGACAGCCAGCGACTGTCAGACAGCCTGGACTGTTGGCACGTGCATTTGTTGACAACATTATCGCCTTTAAGAGCCTTAAAAAACTAAAATGTTTGTTGGTTCACAGTCATCTTTTAGGGCCGTTACAAATAAACCCAAAACGTTGTGTTTGTGTGTTGTTGCGTGTTTTTAGTGCTGCTGTGCCGGTAGAAACACTCCGCTCCGCCAGAGGGCAGCGTAAGCAGAACGGCCTGCAAACAAAGCCAGCGGCTCCCAAATCCTCACAACACACTGCAACGATGCAGCGCTAAAGAGCACAAGTAAAGAGAACCAACGCGGATTTACCGGCGTAAAAACATGAAGTTGGTGAGTTACCCGAGTGCACGGTAGAGAGATGTCGTTTAGTATGCCATAAGTGATCTCTACTCTATTAGCCTACCAGCTAGTAGCATAAGTCATCTTTACTCTATTAGCCTACCAGCTAGTAGCATAAGTTATCTCTACTCTATTAGCCTACCAGCTAGTAGCATAAGTTATCTCTACTCTATTAGCCTACCACCTAGTAGCATAAGTCATCTTTACTCTATTAGCCTACCAGCTAGTAGCATAAGTTATCTTTACTCTATTAGCCTACCAGCTAGTAGCATAAGTTATCTCTACTCTATTAGCCTACCAGCTAGTAGCATAAGTTATCTCTACTCTATTAGCCTACCAGCTAATGACATAAGTTATCTTTACTCTATTAGCCTACCAGCTAATGACATAAGTTATCTTTACTCTATTAGCCTACCAGCTAGTAGCATAAGTCATCTTTACTCTATTAGCCTACCAGCTAGTAGCATAAGTCATCTTTACCCTTTTAGCCTACCAGCTAGTAGCATAATAGTGATGGTAAAATAGTGATCATAACTGATAATAACTAGACTGCTCACGTGACACGTCCTAACCATGATGTCCTGCTCTGTATCGTCATGTTGTGCGAGCACTGTGATCACGTGTCCACGTTACGTCTCTTAATTGCTTCACCTCCTTCTTGCAGTATTGTCTCTCTGGTCATCCTACACTGCCTTGCAATGTCCTCAAGTTCAAATCCACCACCATCATGCTGGACTGTGGACTGGACACCACCTCTGTCCTCAACTTCCTGCCCCTCCCTCTGGTGCACAGGTACCAGCAGCAGTGGCTTCATTCCATCATTCATTCACGTGTGGGTGGTAGACTCCATCTGATTCTGGATGGATGTATCTTGTTTTTTGGTTCTTATTCAGCCCGAGACTCTCCAAGCTACCCAGTTGGGTTTCGAAGGATGGAACAATAAACTTGGAGAAGGTCTGACAAGCTGTTTCTGTTGTATTTAACCTGTAACTGATGTGAGGAACCTGGTTCCTGTGTCTCCATCAAGTTTAGATACATTAAGATGTCTCTGTGATGATGGGCTTTCTGTTTTTCCAGGAGCTGAAGGAGTGTGCAGGAAGAGTGTTTGTGGACTCCCAGCCAGAGTTCTGTCTCCCTGAGGTACACGTGTTGGCCGGCACACAAACACACACAGCACACTATATATAACTCATATATATATATATATATATATATCTCTAAGTATACATTTCTTTCCCATTTAAATTCAGAGAGAGCTGCTGGATCTGTCTACTGTTGATGTCATCCTGGTCTCAAACTACCACTGTATGATGGCTCTGCCCTACATCACTGAGCACACTGGTTTCACTGGGACCGTGTATGCCACCGAACCCACCCTGCAGATCGGCAGGTGAGCAGAGAGAAATGTCATTGTATTGTTCTCGCGTCTACTCAAAGGGAAACGTTGTATCAACAATCTCCTCATTTTACATCCTGTTTTTTTTAAAACACAGATAGAGGAACAAAAGGAGATGGTCTGTAGTTGCTTGTGGTGTCGTTGGTGTTTGTGTCCGCAGGCTGTTGATGGAGGAACTGGTGACCTTCATGGAGAGAGTTCCCAAAGCCCAATCTGCCACCTGCTGGAAGAACAAGGAAATACAAAGGCAAGATGTCTGCTGGGCCTTTTTCTTTGCATAGTAATGTTTACAAATGAAGAACATTCATCACGTAGCTTTTATTAACCATTATCATGAATGTAATATATTAGGATGCTCCCTGGACCGCTGAAGGATGCAGTAGACGTGTGGACGTGGAAACGAAGCTACAGCATGCAGGAGGTGAACTCTGCCCTCAGCAAAGTGCAGCTTGTGGGTTATTCACAGAAAGTGGTAAGAACCGGTTTGTGCTTTGGACTACTCACGTTCACGTTGCTATGCTTCTTCTTACTACTAAGACGTCGGCCCTTCTGTATTTTTGTGTTCTTACAGTAACAACCTCTCTGTCTCCAGGAGTTGTTTGGAGCGGTCCAGGTCTCGCCCTTAAGCTCTGGTTACTCCTTGGGGAGCTCCAACTGGATCATCCAGTCTCACCACGAGAAGGTGTCCTATGTGTCGGGCTCGTCCCTCCTCACCACACATCCACAGGTAGAACCAAAAGGCTCAATGGAGTTACACCAGAGGTCCACAATGGGATCCATCCCTCCGTCCCACTACTGTGTCTCAGGACCTCCGATCTGAAGCTTCCTCTCCTCTTCTTCCAGCCGATGGACCAAAGCTCCCTTAAGAACAGTGATGTCCTGATTCTGACCGGCCTCACCCAGATGCCCACCGCCAACCCGGACGGCATGCTGGGAGAATTTTGCAGCAACCTCGGTAAGTCAAGGTGTACCGGGGCACTTAAACGTTTGTTGTATTAACATTTAAACATTTTGATCTTCATGTTCCACCAATGAATACGTCCGTCCCGTCGGCGCTGGAGTCATTGCTGATTCTGACGTTCGTGTTCATCTGTGCCCGTAGCCATGACGATCCGAGCAGGGGGCAACGTGCTGGTGCCGTGCTACTCCTCCGGGGTGATCTATGACCTGCTGGAGTGTCTGTACCAGTTCATCGACAACGCCAACCTGGGGACCACGCCCTTCTACTTCATCTCGCCCGTCGCCAACAGCTCGCTGGAGTTCTCCCAGATCTTTGCTGAGTGGTGAGGAGCTGTGTGATGTACACGACCTAGAAGGGAAGCAGCAATGAAAGGGAGGACAATAATACCCACGGGGAGGTGGAGGAGGAGTCGCTGCAGGGCTTGTAGCTTTTGTTGCTTCTCCGCGATGATCTCATTCATTTTCCGTTGCTCTCCTTTGCAGGCTCTGCCACAACAAGCAATCAAAGGTGTATCTTCCAGAGCCTCCGTTCCCTCATGCCGAGGTGAGCCGGCGTCTCTACTGAAGGACAACAGTGTGCTGGAGAGACAGCGGCTGGTTGGAAACGGTCACGTTGCTTCATGTTCTGCAGGTTCTGGTGTCTCACCGTGCGGCCCTTGTGCTTTCGTTTCAGTTGATCCAAACCAACAAGCTGAAGCACTACTCCAGCATTCACGGAGACTTCAGCAGCGAGTTCCGTCAGCCGTGCGTGGTCTTCACCGGTCACCCGTCTCTGCGCTTTGGGGACGTGGTTCACTTCATGGAGCTGTGGGGCAAATCCAGCCTGAACACCATCATCTTTACTGGTAACTACAACCGTCTTCCTGCACCAGACAGGACGCAGATGCCACACATCCAGAAGCTTCTGTGACCTTTCTTTCTGACCTCCAGAGCCGGACTTCTCATACCTGGATGCTCTGGCTCCCTACCAGCCTCTGGCCATGAAGTGCGTCTACTGTCCCATCGACACACGGCTCAACTTCCACCAGGTGTCCAAGCTCCTCAAGGAAGTCCAGGTACAGTCGTCCATCTGCAGCTGCTTGGAGCCAATCGGATTACAGCTTTTTATGTGAATTTATTTGAGCTGAGGACAACTTGTTTTTTAATGATGTTAATGTTCATAACGCTGATATCATTTCGCAGCTGAGAAATTGCTGCCATGTCATTTTTTCTTTTTTATTAGTATTATTTTTTTATTGCCTCTGCAGTAAGAGAGCTGTACAACAAGTAAAGTAGACGTCCTGTGGTGGAAACGGGAGAAATTAAACTATTTCACGAGCTAAAAGGCATCGACCACAAAACCATGTGATGTCCGATGACATCAGCTGGATTCCACCACAGATTGTTCTCACGAACGTGATAAGAAACCCTTTTTACTGCAGTCAAATAGCTCATGCTGCCTCATGTTATACTTCAAACTGTAGTTATATAAAGCTCAGGGAAGCGAGATGTCTTAGCGTAGCCAGGCTAGTACGTTGCTTGTTGTTAGCACGCTTGCGTTGGCGTTTCATTTGCTTAATGTCAATCTCAGATCTGCAGACTCTTGTTCCTCGTCAGTACGTGGCGTGTTTCCTCGATTCCTCCCTCCTTGCAAGGTTCCCTTGCTTATCTCCATGCAGACCCCTCAAAGCACACAAACACCACATGTGATCATTTCCCCCATTGTGTTTCCCTCCGGTTCTGCAGCCCCTCCACGTGGTGTGTCCAGAGCAGTACACCCAGCCCCCCCAGTCCCAGGCCCACCGCTCTGACCTGATGCTGGAGCTGCACCCGCCCCCCATGCCCTACCGCCGCTGCTCTGTGCTCAACCTGCCCTTCAGACGGCGCTACGAGCGGGTCTACATCCTGCCTGAGGTGGGTCACACCCGAGCAGGACGCGTAGAGACAATCTACTGTAACGCGTCGGGGTGAAGGGACATGAATAGACCCGGTTGGCCGTGTTGAATGCAACATCTAACCGGGAGCTGCTGCTGTTTGCGTACGTTAAACTCTCACGAGTTGGTGGGAGGCGACGACGTGGTGCGTGGGAGAGAATTACTCACTGGGTTACATGAAGGAATAGTTTACATTTAGTCAGAGCAGAGGGGGCTGATGTTCTTCATTTCACAGCTGGCCAACTCCCTGGTGCCCTCCGAGATTAAACCGGGCGTTTCCCTGGCAACTGTGTCTGCCGTGTTGCACTCCAAGGACAACAAGCACACGCTACAAGTGAGCCACAAATCCGCTTGAATAATGTCTTAGATACGGAGGAAGCGGCTTCACGCCATCCCAAATGTACCGTTTTTCTTTTGTCACCAGTCGGTGCCCAAAGCTCCTCCTGCGCCGCCCAGCAAGAAGAGGAAACGGGTCCCGGAGGAGCCGCCGGTCCTGCTGGGCCCCAAACCCCTGCTGAGCGGAGCTGTGCCCCTGGAGGCTTTCCTGGCCACATTACAAAAGGTGCGACGAGACCTCATTGTCGTTTTTAGAATAATGAGCTGTAACACATTTCTGTGCTGCAAAAATAAATGTGAGGAGTCAGTGAGGAGGAACAAGCAGTTTATCACATGCAGAGCGGAGAGTGCGGGTCGGACCAGGTCCTGGTTGTAAGCTGACCACTGGCAGCCAGTGAAGAGAGCGGAGGAGTAGTGTCCCTTCTTAAGTGAAAGGCCTCCCCTGAGAGCAGCGTGAGCGCCCCCTGCTGGGACCACGATGCCTCTACTTTCAGCCTGCTGGCAAATATACAAACTGCTTATTGGAACCAGTGGAAGTCTGGACTTGAGGAGTCTGTTGGCTGCTGTAATGGGGGAGGGGGGGCCTGGGGAGCGTGGCCCTAGCACAGTCTGACCGGTCTGACTGTGGAGTGAAGTCATTGGAGCGTTCATAGCTGGTAAACCTGTCTCCTGCTCCCCCGCAGCACGGTATCACAGAGGTCAAGGTGGAGGAGACGGCGGACGGACACATTCTGCACCTGCAGGCCGAGGACACGCTGATTCAGCTGGAGGAGGACGGGACGCACATCGTGTGCGACAACAACGAGCCGCTGCGCACCACCCTGAGAGACCTGGTGCTCCGCTTCCTGCAGAGACTCTGACCTCCTCGTGCAGCTCTCTGGATTGTGAAGAGTAAAAAGCGATGATGGAGCAGCACGTGGCCCCACCTCGATAACTGGACTGTCAATTTCACTTATGTTTTGTATTAAATGTTGTTTTTTTAAAAGAGATTCTTTCACTGTTTTTCCATCACTGCAACTTCTTTATCCAGGAAACTAAAAACTGACGTCCCTGGTGATGAGCTTTCTGGGTAATATCTGCTAAATGTCACCCGACGTGTTTGTGTTGCATTTACATCCAGAGCTCGAGTCAGTTTGGGGATCAGCTGAAGAGGCTGCACGTTTCCAGATGTGATGATGGAGCTCTGAATATACAGCGGTGTTCAAAATAAAAGCCGTAGTAGAGTAATAAACCTTTTCTTTGTTGGAAATCTGCCAGTGGAACAGACCGAGGCAAAGATCTCCAGGGAGATCAAAGTGACCTGAGAGCAGGAAAACTCTGCTGTTTTCAGTTTATACTGTAAATATTCCCTTTTCTGAACAGTAAAACCAAATGTGAGAAATGTTTCTTTGGATGTGGAAACGACTGCAGTGAAACGGCCGGTGCTCTTGACGGGGGACAAGACGTCCTCCGCTACAGCTGAGTGAAAGGCTGCGAGGTTGTCCTTGTACAGAGGGAACTGTATCCTGCGCACCTGAAACATGTCGCTGTATGAAAAGCACAGGTTCTAACATCAGAAGGTCCGATAGCTGAATCTGGTGCTTCATTTTCAGGGTTTTGCACTTAAAACAGCAGGTGGGCTCATCGTATTGGAACATCGTGTCCACGGCGCTTCGGCTCCGTCCAGAGAGATGGAGCGGGTGGAGCTCTGCACGGCTGATGGGGAAGAACAACATCGTGCCAAGAGATCCACCTGCTTCCATCGGTGGCCAGTCAGCTGCTCTGGTTACTTCACAGCCGTCTTCATGTTCAGCCAGAGAATTTCTGTGCACGTCGATGGCTCGAACAAACACTCCGGGTCTCTCGTTTGTTTCAAAATATTTAATTGACATGCAACTAAAATACATTTAACAATATGCTTTCAATGTACAATATGTTACAGTGTACTACGTGACCATTGCTTTGATAATACAGCTGTGCAGCAGGAGGAACATCGAGGATCGATAGTGTAAATGGTTCTGGAGCTCAGTGGGACAAAGTGACACATGGACAAATCCTGCAGATTCAGACAGACTTGTAATGCAACTACTTGTTGGTCCAAACGAGCGGTTTGGCCTTTCGTTGCGTTTCAGCGGTGAGACAAAGACGGGGACGGAGTGAACGAGGTCAGTGAGGTGTCCACACTACAAAGACTAATGCATACAGATACTAAACACATTAATAGGATTATGAGCGCGTCCTCTGGCAAGTCTCTTATAATGAAGGACCACCCTGGGTGGAACACAGCAGGCTTTATAAAGGAACCCTGAGGCTGAACAGGGTAGAGGATGGAGAGACTGCGGAGCCGCCATGATGGAATACAGCCGTCATGCGAGCCCGTGTTAAAGACACAGGGAGCTTATGGCTGCACTCCATCACAGAAACAGCGTGCTGCTGTGGATCTTTAGGGAGATTATTTGAGAGGGAGTCTTGGTGTCGTAAGACTGAAGGTTTTCCTCCATGTGGTAATCTGAGAACAACTTGGCTGCTTTCGTTAGAAATCACGTGTTTGGTTGGGGAAAGAGGTCGGCCTCAGTGACCAGTTATCTCTGGACATAAAGATCAGTGCAGCGTCCAGCGGCTCTTTGTTGTTTGCTTTTTGTCTGTCGTCAGCAGAAAGGCACGGATGAACCCAGTGACTGCTACCTAGCCGTTAGCAACCAACTGTGGAGAACAAGTGAAGCCTTCAGGGGCCTAAGAGTCCGATATTTCTGCCGCGGGGCCGATGGGAGACCGAAACCGAGCCAGAAGGAGGGTGAATATTGGGCTTTAGTCCTCAGATGGCCAGGAGCACGACTCCAGAGGAACATCTGTTCTATCAAAATGTCATTGTGGTGTTTGCAACTTGTTCCCGGCAGTGACTGAAAGCCTTCTCCAAAAAAAAAAAAAAGAAATAGATTAAACTGATTTGAGATTCCTGTAAAGACACTTTCCTCACCAGCCAAGTACACGGTCAGGTACACGGTCAGAGCACATTTAGGTGCGCGTACAAGACGTTCCTCTACTTGGACTCGTTCTCCGCCTTCAGCAGCGCCGAGCTGATGCCCAGCTTCTTCAGCTCGTCCACCAGATCCCCGTTCTGGTGCATCTGGAGCAGAATGTCGCAGCCTCCCACGAACTCGCCGCTGAAGTACACCTGAGGGATCGTGGGCCAGTTGGAGAAGGCCTTGACCCCTGTGGAAGGTAGAGAGCGTTGGTGTGAGAAATAACTCCAGTGCTACGTCGGCTGTCACAGAGAAGTGAGAGTTAAATGGAATTACATTTCAGTCACACGTTCCAAGGGATTTCTTTAAGCCGGACCCTTTCCTCATTATAAACACATACACGTCATTGTTATGGACACAAACTACGCAGGAGCCGTTTGTTTGCGTGTAGTTGGCGCCGTTTTAGGTTGTTTATCACCGCTGTGTGATCAGACAGGAAGCCTCCTGAGTCACTGGCTGTTTCCAGCAGATACCATGTCAGCAACACGAGTCCCTATGGAGGCCTTCGTCACCAACACCTACGGATTACAGCACATTGGTGGCTGTTGCGTCACGACCCCCCCCCTAAAGTGCTGACGTCACCACGCGAACACTTCCTCGTTCCTCAACGCGCGCGCTGTAGTTTACAAACAGGTTCCACACTGATAGAGTAATGGTGGACTGAGACCAGGACCACTCCCTGGGGGGGCTGCTGCTGCGGGGGGCCGATAACAACAACAACGCAACGCTTGACATGTCAGTTTGGGACCTGAGCGGCGGGTTTGGACCGAGTCCCGCGAGACTTAGAGCGAAGTTAAGCGGGCTGAGCGGGTCGCGTCGGCGCCACTGACCTTCCCGCAGCTCAGAGTCGTCCAGCACGTTGTACGCGGCGTAGTCGTCCACCCCGTGCATCCGCAGGATCTGAACCACGGCGTTGCTGAAGCCGCACAGGGGCTGCGCCGGCGTCCCCTTCATGAACACCACCACTTTGTCCTTCTTCACCATCTCGCCAAGGTCTTTCGCGGGTCCCGCCGCCGCGCACAGGAACCGGGCCGACGACGCCGTCAGCACGCGTCCGTCGGGCTGCCGGGGAAGACGGACCGCCGCTCCGGTCCAGAGACACTTCGCGGAGTATCTAGTTAGAACATTCATGGTCGTTGGTAGTTGTTCTCGTTTTGTACTGCGCAGCAATGTCGGGGAAAGTGTCTAAGCTGCTTCTGAACAGGCCGGAGTGGACTGGACGACGTTATGTGTGTTGATGACGCTGTCTGAAGGGGCGGGGCGTGGACGCCGATTGGACAGCTGCACCAAAACCAAGTCTAACGATTGGCTGGTTCACCAACGCGTCATTTACACTAGATACACTAGGAATTGTTTATACATTTTGAGTTATAATTATATAACATTTAAATTAAAAGAAAAACACAGACACGATCAAAGATCATACTTATATTTTGTAGACGGTTTAGAAAAAGGAAAAAGTCAAAGAAGAAGGAAAGAGTTGAATAATGATTTCCCGGTAAGTCGGCCTTAAGAACTTCCGGGGTGAAGGTCGACCCCAGAAGAAGGAGACGGCGGCGGTTTGAAAGATGGCGGCGCACACACAGAAGAATAACAAGAATAACAAGCCGGGACTATCTGGTGGAAAAGAGGCTCAGCCTCTGATAATCGCCAAAACCCCGGCGGAGGAACAGCGCCTGAAGCTGGAGCGGTTGATGCGGAACCCGGATAAACCAGCTCCCATCCCGGACCGGCCGAAGGAATGGAACCCGCGGGCTCCGCCGGAGTTCGTCCGAGACGTGATGGGCTCCAGCGCCGGGGCGGGCAGCGGAGAGTTCCACGTCTACCGGCACCTGCGACGCAGAGAGTACCAGAGGCAGGACTTCCTGGACAAGATAGCAGACAAGCAGGACGAGGACCAGGACTACCTGGACAAAGTGGAGCAGAACAAACGGGCGGCCGACGACAGGACGGCGAAGCGCAGGAGGAAGCGGGACAAGCTGAGGCAGAAGAAGGAGATGGCGAAGAAAGCCAAAGTAGAGTCCAAGAACAAGAACGAAGACGACAGCAGCTCGGCCAGCAGCGACGACGGGAAGGAGGAAGAGGGGGAAAGAGAGGCGGACGACGACGCAGAGGCTCCGAGCTTCATCATGGGGAGGAAATGAGAAGGACCCAGACCCGAGGGGACGTGCGGACCCGGGTGCCCTGTCCGGGTTACAAAGGAGACCCGTTGAGACGCTTTATTATGTTCTCCATGGTCTTCTCAGCGTCGTCTGTTCGGATCAAGTGTTCAGACATTGCATCTGAACTGGTTGTTGACTTGTAGGCAATCCAATGCATTTGAACAGGCTGTTTTTTATTAAATTGTAAAACTATACATGCACATGTTCTGTGGTTTGTTCATACTGCGGTGTGGAGTGTGGTGGTATGGCTCATGGAGTAGAGCGGGCGCGCCGGGAACCGCAGGGTTGGCGGTTCGAACCCCGGCTGCCCAATGTCCCAGTATCCCTGATTGCTCCCTGTTGCATTGATAAAAATGAAATGTATTGGACGTCACTCTTTGCAGCCTTGTGGAGATGCCCCCTGCACGGACCGTTGCTCGTGGGCTCAACAAGGTGGCAGAAAGCAACTCAAAGAATGAAAAGGCGTGACTTCTGGAGCCTCGGGAGACTCACGTGCGATGTTCCTTGGACACAATCCTCCTGCCTTCCACGGCGGTGGCGGTCTCGCTCTGTAGCCGCCACCTTTCTTAAGGCAGGTAGAGAAAAGCCTGGCAGCTAGATGCCGTTTGAACCAGGGGGAGGTCTTCCTGCCGAGAACGCTCAACTGTCACAATAACGAATCATATTCGAGCAATAACCTTTGTTATTTTTAATAAATAAATTAAAATAAATTTGCTATGAATCCACTTTAATAATAAACCACACTGTTTGCATTCATTTGGAAGTATTCTGATATATGGAACAGCTTTATTGAAATTAGACGGTAGGTTCACAGAGCGCAGTAGACCTGTTAGTAGTTTGTGTGCTGTTATTCAATGTGGACTTTGATTCTCTTTAATGTGCGTCTTCCCATTTTTCACTTCTGCTGGTATGATTTATGAATGACAGGTTTCTCACGATGGAGGATGTTCCTCATTAAACATGCATTGAACCCTTCTTACTTTGAATAGGGAATAAGCTACAGAGCTGATGCACATGGAGGTTTTTGCAGAACAAGTAGTTACATCGTGTTCTACACCTTATGATCCAACATGAGGCTTAAGGTTCCCACTGATGGGAAACTCACCTCAGTGGTCATATCTCTTTTATAACTTTCCAAAGTGGGCCAATTACAAGCCATTTGTGAATATGAAAGGGACCAAACTGCTTGAAAACATGCAGCCCTTAATGGCTGCTCCGACGTGAAGGTAATACAATACGTTTTTATAAAACAGCATGCAGCAGGGGGACACAAGGACTCCACTAGCTGCATCGCCAGTTCTGCCCGCTGACCCATTTTTCAGGTCTATTTATCTGAAACTCCAACTCGATTTGTATCTGAATACCTGCTTAAGGCGCCATTCGTAACCTGCAGTGTTCATGTGTGGTCAGGGACCCTTTGTGTCATGTTACTCCCCACTAATAAAGACAAACATGTTATGACTCTGTAGTCTGGTATGGGGGGGGGGCACCAGCTTTAGGTCTTTATTGAAATAGAAAAGAACTGTGTGAACTCTGTAAAGTGAAAAGCGTGGCTGCAGCGGCTCGCTCGGTTTTTATTCCCTTCGTCTGAGCTAGTGGTGATCTAGTCGAGCGTTTTGCTCTCAGTGAGGAGGAACAAGCGGTTTATCAGATGCAGAGCGGAGAGTGCGGGTCGGGATGTCGGCTTGGACCAGGTCCTGGATGTAAGCTGGACCCCATCCATTCACAGCATGGTACCTGAGCACCAGTGTTTTGAATTACAGGCCTGTGCAGGTAACACATAGCACCCGTGACCTCACGTAGTGCTCGCTCCCAGCTGACTCCCCTCTGGAACCGGTAAGGAAGTCATGTGACTGTCTGCCGGCCTCCACATAGTTCTGTGGACCGCAGCCCTCCAGTAGGATCCAGGTGGAGGTGTGTCAGGGGGAGTTGAAGCGTGTTCAGGCAAGACACACCGCCTCACTTGCCTTTTTCTTCATCCTTATTGTGTTACGAAACCTCAGAGCTCCTCTAACTGCTCCGAGAGCCTCACATTTTGTAGTCATCTCCCGTACTTATCTCCGTTATGGATCATAAGTAGACACGTGTGGTTAAATGAGAATGAAGGACATCACCAACTGTGATTCTGGGAGAAATTCAGTGGGAGAGAGCAGCGATCATCGTGTGCAGCAGCCTCAAGGTACTGTGACTGTAGCTACACATACTGACCCACTGCGTAATTCATGTGGTAAATTAAAAAGGGAACACTTTTCAAGGCCTTTTCCTGCCTTTATCCACCTTCCTCATAGTCATTTTCCAGGAAGGTGGCATTGATGTCAATATCTGATTGCCCAATCATACGCCTTCTTTTCCTTTTCCATTTGTTGATGACTAGCTTCTTAAATATTGGCTTCAGTTTCATAAATGTATTCATAGTGAGGAGTCTTTTAGGGTGAACTGCGTTAGGACGTTGATTATGACCCGCACAAGAAATTCTGTTTTCCCACATTCGGTCAGACAAACGTAACTAACTCAATATCCCTCATGTGCCGCAGAGTTAAAACATAACTGTAACAATATTGTAACAACAGAACACTTGACATGTCAGAAAGATTGCGTTCAATCATAAAAATCTGCTGTTTCCTCTGCCCCAGATGAAAGGAAAGCAGTGCAGAGGAGAACCTTCACCAGGTGGATGAATGTGTTTCTGCAGAGAGTAAGGCACAAATCAATACGGAGTTACCGTGACACCACACTTGAGCACCAATAAAAAGGTTCACCATTTGTTATTTCCAGCGCGATCCTCCAGAAGAAGTGCTCGACCTGTTTGCAGACTTTCAGGATGGACGAATACTCATGGCTCTGCTGGAGGAGCTGTCAGGGTGCAAGCTGGTAGGAGTCAAGCTATGGAGTGGAAGTAGAAGAAGAAGGAAGAATATAATACAACACAATCATTTCACTGTGGTTCAGTTCACTGTTAATCTCACCTTAAAAAACATTGCAGACAAAACTGTGATTTGTGTCTTTTGTCAGCTTTACAGGTTTAGGTCGTCTTCTCAACGCATTTTCAGACTGAACAATATTTCCAAAGCCCTTGCGTTCCTCGATGATAGACACGTGAGCATGTTTGTTCAATAGAAGTACTTTGCTTTGGCGTGCATTGCACTTGCACTAAAATCCCCAGGGACAGGATTTGGGTGACGTCTCCTCACTGTTGTCTCTCAGGTGAAGCTGCCTGGCATCGATGCCACAGGTATCGCTGATGGCATCCCCTCTGCTGTTCTTGACCTGGTCTGGAATATCGTCCTGTACTTCCAGGCAGGTCTTTCCCCCCCATCCTCTTTCTACCCCAATGTGTGACTGTAGTATTTCCCTCCTTGCCTGAGTGTTAGTTTTTTTGGAACTGACCCACACATTCTTCTCATTTAGGTAAAGAAAGTGACGCAAGGCCTTCAGAGGCATTTGTCTTCCAGCCTCTTTTCCTTAACAACAAGCATTTACCCCTCCTCTAGCGACCTCTTACCACAGCCAAACGACATTGGCAGCTACTCCGGCAACACCCTGCCAAGCAAAGGCAGAAAGGCTGCCAAAGGGCCAAAGTACCATGGGAAAGCAATCAAGACTCTGCTGCAATGGGTCCAAAGATGCACATCAAGGCGAGTCTGAAAGAGAGGCAACCGCTTACCAAGTCATTTTTCATCAATTAAAAGCGTCCAAGCCCAAGGCGTACACCCCTACGACCACAGTGCTGGAAGCTCAATGTGCATGTTTGATTTTACACTCATACAATTTCATGCTCGCAGGTTTGGGGTGGAGGTGCATGACTTCGGGAGGAGCTGGAGGAGCGGGCTGGCATTCCTAGCTTTGATTAAGTCCATAAACCCATACTTGGTCGACCTGACGGAGAGTCTGTCCAAACAGCCAAGAGAAAACATCCAGCTGGCCTTCACGATAGCCCAACACAGTTTGGATATACAACCTCTGCTGGAGCCTGAAGGTAAAATCACACTCAATAGAAAGTGGCCCCCATTGATCCACTTTCATGCACAAAGACATTGCTGTGTGTAGTGTCCCTTTTTTCACATGTTAAGGGTCATACAAAAGCTCAAACAGGCCTTCTCATGGTCTCATTCAGTCCACCCTACTAATGCAAGACAAATCCTCGTTTTGCACAGATGTGCTTGGCCGTTCCCTCGATGAGCGGTCCATCATCACCTACGTGTCGATGTTTCCGGGGCGTCGTTCAGGCACAGATGAGGTTTGTACGGATTTTAGTAGTTCCGCTTTGTTGCCTTTGCCTGTTCTAGGTCGGGAAGTTTAGCCCTTCTTAGCGCTCAGCAAAGCCCGATATATATCCGCTGGCTACTAGCACCTCTGATTAACACCATCCCCTGCTTGTTTGATCAATGCGAAAGTCAAAGTGTAAAAACAATTGGATTTATCACGTCATTTTGTGAACTGTAGAAGTGCAGTAGCTTTATGCTAAGCTAAACGCTAACTGGCTGCTTACGGTCACTTAAAGGGGACATAATTCCACTTTGATAGGTCCTCTACACGTTAATGTGGCTGTCTGGCATCTTTAGCGACCCCCGAGGGCTGGAAACAAGTTGGCCGTTTTTTGTACAATTCCTGTGATGAATGAATACTAATAAATACAACCTGTTTGGATGTTCTGGGGTTTGCCCACGTCCTCAGACCAAGGGGGGGGGGTCGTATGAAAATCGTATGCTTTTTTAACATGAAAGCTTGTTAATGTGTTACGGTGAAAAGTCTTAAAATGAGTAGGATTTGTGTCCTTTATTATCAAATGCACTGGAGGAGAAAAGTCTTGATCTTCCCATTTAACTCTTTATAAAAAGGGACTTATTTCCTAAGATATTTTATAAATTTACAAACAAAAACAGCATATTCATTCATGTTCAACACTGTATACCAATGAGTATTTGGTGATACAATGTAAAAGTAAACCCTATGTTACAGGATGATACAACAAATATCCGGTGGTCTGAGATCCCAAATTGTGGATCACTTGAGTCTGTCATCCCGGAAAAGACCCACGCTGATGAACCAAATGCCCAAGAATCAGTGCAAGGTTTAGAGAAGAGCCGCGAGCAGCTACTGTGGAAACGCTGGTCGCAAAGATCCTCCGGCAGCCCCGTAAACACCAGTGAGGCCACGTCCCTATTCAACAAAAAGAAAAGCAGGAGTCAAAGCATCTTACAGCTACCCAGTCCTCTGGATGCAGGAGTAGTCAACCAGGAGATCCGATCATGGATGGATCAGGGCAACAGCAAGCCCAGGGTGGATGAAAGTCACTTCTCGTTCAGTTCAGAGGAAGGAATCTACAGCCTGTCAGCACTGGACTCCGATGAGGAGGAGGCCTATAGCTACATCCTGGATCTGAATAAAGAGGTTTTTCCACCACATAAAGAGTTGAAAAGACAAGTGCCCAGGGTTGAAGAGGAAACAGAGGAAGACATGTTCATGAGCAGGCACCAGACTGAAGAGTTTGAACACCTGAAAACATGGAAGACATCAAACGGGAGAGGACATCAAGAAGACTCACTGACGCAAAATGTTGAACCAGAGAACCGGGCTCAGTCAGTGGCTCATTGGGAGAAGAAAAATATTGAAAGGGTACCTCTTGAAAAATGTGGACAAGTAATTGAGAATCAAGTGGTGGCCAACAAAAAGGAGGAGGAGAAAGCGCTGAAATTCAATGAAGGGCAGGATAGAAAGTCAGGGAAAGAACAAGAGGAAGGGTATAAGGATGAAGAGATGGAGAATCAGCAAAGTTTTGGGAGTTTCAAGGTAGGAGTAAAAGCAATAGTTGTAACTGATAATACTACGTATGAAGTCAAAGGAGCTGCGAAATCTAGAATTAATACAAAAGAAGCAAATTACGTGACAGAAAATGGCCCAAACATAGAAGAATCAACCAATGAAGATGACAAGGAAGAATGCAGAGATGGAGCGATGAATCCGGTGGGTGGAGCAGCAGAGCAGAAAGATCGGAGCCTTAAGATGAAGAAACAAGAACTCACTGGCAAGGCGCCAACAGCAGCAGGTAAAATGGGCCTCAAAAGTGACACGAGAGGAGGCGTCAACGTCCGTGGTGTTGAACGGTATCGGACGCCTGCCTGTACTGCAGCTCCTCCCTCATCCAGGTAGGCATTATGAGAAGCATTGGCCACCGGTTTCAGGCTCCCCTGCATGACACATGGTGCAAAGATAATGGTGGTGGATTGACTACTCAATATGTCGGTGACATGGGGACTTCAATGACCGATGACTAGGGACCAAATACCTTTGGCGCATGTCTTTTTTGGTTTTGTTTGCATTTGGTTGTAATTTCAAGCAAATCCACTGTGTTTTTTTTAATTTTGGGGGGTTTTGTTCTGTTTTAATTTACAAAATTAACCAGGTGTTTATAGTTGCAATCAGACTCCTGGAGAAAATACAGTTCCGACATAATCCTAGTGGGGATGGAGTTTGGTCATGTGGGAACTATAGTCCTTATATCTAGACAAACGGAGGAGTTTGGCAAACGTTCCCATCTCATAATGGGTTTCAACTTGTCCAAACCCAATAAAGAACGGAACACAGCTGTCAAACACTAGCATCTCGGCTGTTAATGAGTAAATGCTAGCAGAAATTGCCAAAAAGGGAAGCCGCTGAAGTATCTCAAACCTGCATTCTCTCCACTGTGCACCAGGGGGCGACTCCTCTGCTCCCATAGAAGTCTATGAGAAAAACGACTTGGCTTCTCTCTTGATTTATTCCCTTCATGGAGTTTACGGTCCTAATGTCTCGTTTCAAGTATTCTTCAATACAGCATGATGTTCATTTAGTGAATTATGGTCCATTCAGTGTCAAACAGACCATAAAGCAGGGGATGCTTTCGGGTGGGGCTAACTTGTAATTGACAGGTCTCTACCATGACATTGTCCAGTCTGGTAGTTGTCTGTGTTTTTTTGCAATTTTAAACCTTTGAGTCAGGTTTCTTTTCATGAAAGTGGATTTCAACCTTTTGATCGGCTAAAATGTTGCAATCCTGGTTGCAAAAGAACAAGATTACAATTGCCAAAAATGGCCAAAATTAGGACCATTAACATATTAACATATCTCATATTCACTCAAATACTCACTCATATTCATTTTCACTTGAATATGAAATGTTATAATATAATCACATCACTTAGTTTGTAAAATTGCTTAAGTTACTTAACCGTGGTAAGCGATGTCGCGTGTTTTAAAATCCCCTTCTTTTAGTTATACCCCCCCCCCCCCCCCGCGCGCTGTACTGTTACGGCAAGTCACTTCATTTCCTACTGAGGTTATGACGGTTTTATAGGTAGTTTATACTTCTTATGTGTGAAAACGTTGAGAATGAATACAAAAATAAACTGAACCTGGTGGCTTTGCTACGTTGGTTTAGTTGTGTGATTATAAATTAACTACCTTTAGTTGTGTTTCATGGAGCAGGAGGAAGCAGCATCAAGCTGAAGGAGAACGATGTGCGTGGTGACATTCAGCTACTGTAGACATATTCTATAATATCTTGAGTTAATTAAAATATGCATGAAAAAAAACGAAACCGTCTGTGCATACAGTTTAATGTACGCGTTCGCTGTTGTGGTATTCATTGACTGTAGTGATTGCTTTCTTCTTCCTTAATATTGCAATATTGATTTGAGCTAAAAGTACATGGCTTAACCTATTTGAAAATGACCGGAAAATGTTCTCTCAGCCTGAAATATATTATCCTCCGGAGGTGAAGCATATCTTCCTAAATGAATTGAAATAAGAATAAGATTACCATCTCTACCTGCTTTTCATACGTTTTGGGTTTCTTACTGGCGAGCACAGGTTGCTCGGCAACGGGAGCAGTGGAGGCAAAGCTGATGACGCCAGCAGGAAGTCCCCCCGTAGGACACTCTGTCCCAAACTTAGGGGCCGCTTGGTTCAGCCTACGCGGTTGTTGGAGGACCAGCCCAAGTCTTCCGCGAAGGCTGGGTCCCCATGGGTCCCCATGGGGACGCAGCCCGCCGAAGGAGACACGGCTACTGTCACGTTGTTAAAATGACGAACGTTGTTTCTCCATGGCCCGAGCGCTGCTGAGACACATGCAGGGAAAGCATACATCATGCATAGATTTCATATTTTACTAATATTGCTGGGTACATTCCATATAAAAACAACAAATAACAAACAAACAAATAATTTTTATTTTTTCTTGTGGCGCTCACAGGGGGGGGGGAGGGGGTGTCAGGGCTCATGGCCCTCTGTTGACCAGCTGCCACATTGTCGTCTGTTTCTAACAAGTGTGTTTTTCCTGCTGTTCAACAGAGAGGAAGGATTCACCCCTCAATCCTCCGCTGCTCCCTGGGACGTAACCCCATCAGAGCAGAGCATCCTGTTGGTCCTGTGGATCCTGCTCTACTGCTACTTCATCTTCTGAGGGGCCCTGCTGTCCACGCTTCTTGTCAAGATGTGCTTATTAGCCCGGTTTCCACTAACGAGCCAAACTGGGACACTTTGGACTGGATTGACTCTTTATCTGGGTCACAAACCCCCCCTTAAGGAGGCCCTTAATGACTGTAAGCTTTTTCTGCAATCAGACATGATTAGTCGTTTGGTTTATAGCTTCAGATAAAATACATAGTGCAGTTATCCTCATTATTACACATGTTGTCATCTACTCGGCCTTACCCACACATTACCGGGGATGGCTGTGTGTGCAGGTCCAATGCTCGGTTTATCTGATGAATGTTTCAGCCAGAGATCCTTCTTTTTATTTTACTGACTTTCACAGACTTTACCGGCCACATGGTGGCGTTGCAGCATCACAGAAGCAACTGTCACACAGGGTCGGCTGCTCATCCCTCAACACTTGCTGTTTAGAGAGCAGCTGTATTGACGCTGTGAAACTAAACTGATAATATTTAATGAGCCCCTTGACATTTTGCAGCCTCTCACTGTCACTTGCATCGTTGTGTATCATTGTCCTCATCGCTACAGATATCGTGTGATAAAGGCTCATCAACATCACAGGCTTTTCTTTTCATGACATTTTTGTGACTATGAGATATAAATAATAAATCTTTGTCTCATTTTTCAAATATCTTCTAGTCCTTTCCACAAGATCAGACTAGTTGTGTAAATATTGTATTTTGAGGTGCAGTAGACATTCAAGAGACACACTCATGTCTTTGTTGGAATTCACGTGTAAAACAGTGAAACTAGAGCAACATTTAAGTATGCATCCGTTGCATAAGTGTTCAAAATCCATGTTGACCACAATGTGTATTAAAGGGGGGGGGCGTGAGTTGGCCCTGTTGTCAATGTCCACCAAACACACACACACACACACACACACACACACATTTATTGCGGGTGAAATTCTAAGAAACTAAAAAAGCATGCCGCCTTTGTTTGCTTGGAGCTCAACCCACGGGTCAAGAGCTCATCCCCCAGAGATCAATATACTTTCAACACTGCCACCACCCCCGCACAAAACCACGAGAACAACACCTCCCCACAGTTGGAGCCAGGCCGGTCTTCTGAGAGACCAGCCTGCATCAGGCCAGGCCGGGATGGCCAGAGAAGAAGCTATGGTGTTTGCTATGTGTGGTTTCACATGTCTCACTGCGCTGGCATGGCCAACAGGCCTCACGGCAGATGGGTTGGTTCTACTGAAGCCTACGAGACTTCGAAGAGGTCAATCAGCAGCTCAACTCATCGACCCTAAACACAGCCTTGGCCTTTGAGCCGTACCGCACCTTGGCAACCAGCGCCGCTGCTGAGCGGCAGCAGCACAACATCTTGTTCTCGCCATTGGGCTTAGCGTCAGCTCTGGCGCTGCTGTCCCGGGTTTGTGGTTCCGAGAGTCGGAACCAGACCCTGGAGGCCCTGGGGCTGGCGGCCAATACTACAGAGGAGAGTGTGGAGGCCACCTTATCTGCTCTTGCAGATATGCAACTCAGCCTGTCTCTACGCGGGGGGGGTGTAGGGTCCAAAGGGTAGAATCTGGAACTGGAACAGGAGCTGGCATTGGGGCACCAGCAAGGGTGGAATTTGTAGGGGATGATGCTGCAAACCAAACTGATGTAGATGATTGGGCGGAGGGTAAGGATGGAACTCGGGGTGGTGTTCATGCTGGCAGTCAGCTGGAGTTTTGAGCAGCCTACATGTGGATGGAAGACCATCCCTAGACTATGACAGTTTCATGCTCAGGCCTTGGCACAACAGCTTTGACTCGTTGATGACTTGGAAGCCTCTGACAAACTTGAACTTACCAATTATGTGTATTTCAAAAGGTAGCTTCTTCATAGTTAATGGCTGATGTTATTTTCAGCTTTTGTATATGCATAATGTATATTAATGGTGTGAACAATCAGACCGATTTGTAAAGACCTTCAAAAACATGTTAATAAGCTTGAAATCAGAATGAACCGCTGCTAAATTTGTAAAAGTAAAATCAGAACACTTTCAAAATGTGCTCTCTGTGTCAAGACAATTGCAGCCACTACAGAGCATCAGTCATTGTTGTCTACGTGGAGCAGATGCTCTCAGCCAGTCAACAGTGGTGCTTTATACAGGCATGCAACTTTTCCCTCTTACAATTTGTTTTTCCTATTTCATAACGTTCTCTTTGTCACTGCTGCGTGAATCAGGCCGTCAACCATTTGAGCGGCGCCACACGGTGCCAAGGAGCTTCCAGCCCAACGCCACCACCACCAGCGTGGAGGTGGCCATGATGTTCTAAGGTGATGATGCTGTACGACACGGTGGTGCGTCTGGCCCACTCCGAGCGAACTGGCCTCGCCGCTCCTGCTCCCTACAGCTGAGCCGCAGCCCCTGGAGCCTCTCCGACGGACGCATGGCGCCGCAACCTGAAGCAGTGGTATGTGAGGGCAGGGGGCAAAATTGTAAAATTGCAAACTGTGGCGGAACAAGGTGCAAGCCATGTTGGGCTGTCCTCTGAGGCTCATGTTTTCATGAGGTCTTGCAGTGGCCCAAAGTGTCAGCAGATTTAAGGATGAGTGGAATTAAATAATTTCCCCTGTGCCGTTCTGCATCCCCTGCAGGGTCTCACTGAAGAGAATTCCAAAAACAACCTTCAGAATGATGCTATGAAACACAATGATTGTGAAGTTATTTAAACCAAAATACAATACTTTATTCCCCTGATGGAACGTATCCTGGCTCTAAAATATATATTTTATGAGATTTCTACTTCCAGGTCGATCTAATTGAGGTTGAATAGAATTGAATCTGTTACGCTCAGAGCATTGACTTTTTTGGCATTTTTGAATTCCACATCATCACATCTTTCTGTTGGCAGCAGCGACGAGGAGACTGCAACCTTCCTCAAATGCGTTCATGAAACAAACGCAACGTTTCCCACATCATTTTCATCCATTCAAGGTTCGACAGCCGCTCTTTTAATGCAATCATCTTGTTTTTCAAACTTTTCTTCTGCAATGGTTTAATGACATTGCCACCAGCTGCTCATCTCCATGAATTTACTTACTAACATTTACATAACAGATGCAGCTGCACTTTCCTTTTTCCACTTTCATGGAAATTCTGTATACATTTCTGCAACATCACCCGAGCAATTAGGATTTGGTTCTTGCAAAAAAAACATGAATGCATCGTTTTTTTCATGTCATTTTTAAATACTGTGAACACCTTAAAACTAAACTGCATCAACTGCTGACAAATGAAGTGTGGCTCGACCCTGCAAGGGCAAGTGACACAATATGTTTGAACTAATCCATTTACACATGTGTGTTGTTAAGCTGGGGGTTTTATATGTGGGTCTGAGGGTGTGAACGTACAGTGAATGCCCTCCATAAAGGGCGTTGGCTCATCCCTGAGTGTGCAGCATATCGATCCATGTCATGGCGCTGGTCCCCTGCAGCCAGCGGCTTTCTGTTGTTCGCTTGCATGATGAATGATGCCGAGTGGATTCTAAGTCAGCAATAATTACTGCTCTCTGCACATCAGTGAGCCTGAGCCTGCTGTACGGCTCCCACAAGTAGTAACAAGACAACTTAGAGCAAATCCATTAAAACATTGATTGTTGTTTTCACAGGCGGGCAGAAATCCGTTTCCCTAAGTTCCAACTAAGGAAATCCTACAGTTTAGACAGGAGGCCTCCTGAGGAACTCTGGGGTGTCATCGGTTTTCTCGCACTCAGCCGACTTATCTGGAATATCGCAGGAGACTCTGAAACTCGCCAAGGTTAAGAGAAACCCAATATATCACATTTCTCTTTGCCCAAGTGGATTACCATGAAACTAGTATGCAGAAGCACTTGGTCGAGACCATATCACGCATTCCGATATCCACCTCTGTGGGATCCATTGAATCTTCATGTCCCTCTTTCATGATCAACTTGCTTCTCTTCTTTCAGGCTCCTCGTGAGGTCATGCCCGAGGTGGAGGAGATCCAGTATGAAGATGGGGGAGACCTGACAGTTCACCGGACTTCTCTGTTCCCTCGAGGATCACCTTTAACAGGCCGTTCATGCTCATAACCTACGGCCATCTCACGGGGAGAATTATTGATCCTACAAATGTCTACAGCGGGGTGAACAGCGTAGCTTTATTGGGCTTTGCTATTGATATAACACTGCGTTCACTTATATTACTCGATTTGTTTTTCCCCCCCAACAGAATGGTGTATCATTCTGGGGAAAAACATTTTCCTGCAATTATATCAGCATGCAGAGTGCTTTGTTTTACCTTCAATTTTCCAAACCATTACAGCCTGATTTACAGTTTCTTTCCCCCCTATTTGCACAAAATTATGAAAAGAAATTCAAATTGAAGTAATTTATCTGTATGACTGAATCGCTTTCTACTCTTGCAAAAGCATAAAACCCTTTTCTTCCATTACAAAAGCTCTATTGTCATTTTTTCCCATCTCTTTATCGCTTTGTGCAATTACAGAGAAATGTTTTGCAGGAGAAAAGCACTGTTACATCTACAGTACGCATTTCAGTTTTACCTCAGCACCAGACGGTCTTGAGCAGATGACATTTAGCTCATTGAGGAGATGATAAATGGAGGACAGTTTCATAAACAGGACAACAGATCCATCACAAGAAACAGAAATGTCAGCCTATTAATCAAGAAGGTCCGATTGACTCTTTGGAAAACAAAGGTTTGTGACGTACGGATGACCCCCCCCCCCCCATCCCCTCCAGGAACGTGTCATGTTGGCAGAGTTTCTATTGGTTTTCCTTCTTGTCTTTCTTTCCTCTGTGTGTTTTCTATTTCTCAGTTTCAGGTCGACTCCCCCAGTCAGTAACATTCTGGCTGTTTATTTCCTAGTTTATCCACATAGTATAATCCTGATAGAAAGGTTCGTTTTAGAGATGTCCCTCGTTCATCTTTCGTCTTCAGCAACGTTTTTGTGGACTATTCAGTATTTGGATCGAGTAGCTCCTTTAGATTCGGGACCAAATCTGCTACTTTAGTGTGTCACGTTCACATTTAATCAACACCTATTGCATTGTTGGTACCAGCACGTTAAAGGACTTGGATCGTGACTGAGGCCGACTGAATGACGACAGGCAGCAGCCGTAGCATAAATACTCCATTATCTCACTGTGGCTCATTACCCACGTTGTGCTGAGTGAGAGTCTGAGCTGCTATCTGTCACAGGACACACAATGGGGGATGGCTCTTGGTTAATCTTTGACTCAACTGTCAGCTGACTCTCAGAGCTCTTGTATATAATGGGGAAGTTTCTGGCCAACCGTCTGCAGCAAAGAGGACATTATAGGTAAGCATGGCCCTTTCAAATAAATGAATACTACTTGAAGACTAACATTCATTGTAAGAGTCAAGTTTAAAAGGTACACATTTTTAAGTTGTGACATAAGATGTAATCATTTGGAAGTGTAGCGCTATTTACATGCTAAATTATATCAGTGAACCTTGTGTGATTTTTCCATTTTTATTATTATTCAGTTCTTTGTGATCTATCAAATATTGAGGCAAAGCCCCACAAAGCCCGTGTCATTTTTCCTGGACAGGCTATAAATATGCGTGGGATCCTTGCTAGTTGTGCTCTGTCATTACTGCTGCTGGCTGCAGCCTGGGCAGACCACCACCAGGACCACCACCACCACCACGACGGCGATGGTGCTGCTCACAGCCACGAGGGAGAAATGAGCTGCCACAAGCTGGCTGCTCCCAATGCTGACTTTGGCTTCGCCCTCTACAAAAGCCTGAGTACCAACGCTGCTGCTGGAAAGAACATCTTCTTCTCACCGCTGGGCATCTCCACCGCCTTGTCCATGCTGTCCACCGGGGCCAAGGGGGAAACCCACCGCCAGATGTTCGCTAGCTTGGGCTACACTTCCTTAAACCAGATGCAGGCCAACGATGCATACAGGCATCTCTTTCACATGGTCGAGCACAGCCAGGGGAATCAGCGCCTGGACGTGGGTAACGACGTTGCCCTGCGCTCTGGTTTCAGCCCTTTGGAGGCCTTCCTGAAGGATGTCAAGCACTCCTACTCTGCTCACGTCTTCAATGTCGACTTTACCAAACCTGAGGAGGCTGCAGCTGAGATCAACACACACATTGCCGCTAAAACCAATGACAAGATCAAAGATATGGTGAAGGACCTGAGCCCTGAGATGGCCATGGTGCTAATCAACTATGTCTACTTCAGAGGTAGGACACCACACCATGCAGGTTCATTCTGAAAGAGAGCATCCCATCCGTGCAGAAAGCCAGCTTTAAAAAACACATTCAAGCATCTAGTTTCAGCAGCATCTCATTGTATAGGAGATCAACAGCCATACCACTGATATTTAAAACAAAATTTGTACGATATTATACAAAACCACAATCGCATCAGATGTCTTGAGGCAACTACATTGCTTTCATCTCTTTCTTCTCCTACAGGACGGTGGGTAAAGCCCTTTGATGCTAACAACACAGCAAAGGCCGACTTTGACGTGGACGAAACCACCAAGGTTCAGGTGGACATGATGAAGAGGAACGGTCGCTACGATTTCTATCACGACTCTGACAACCACACCACCGTCATCCTGCTGCCGTATCATGGCAACACCTCGATGATGATTGTCCTGCCCGACGAAGGCAAGATGAAGGAGGTGGAGGGCTATATTACTAAGGAGCACATCAGGCACTGGCACGACTCACTTTTCAGGAGGTGAGAGGGGAATTTGATTTTCTTTTGAACCTTTTGATGGTTTGTAAAGTTGACCGTTACGGTGAGGTCATTTGTAGGATCATGGGGAATATCCGGGCGTTTGGTGGGCTTTTGACTTGGATCTCCTTGTTTGGCTGTAGGTCCACTGTATGTATCGAGGATATGTAACTTGTGATGTTCTGCTTTACTTAGTTCTGTGAATCTGTTCCTGCCGAAGTTCTCCATCTCCGCTGAGGCCACCCTGGACAGCACACTGAAAGAAATGGGCATGGTCGACGCTTTCACAGATAACGCGGATTTCTCTGGCCTGTCCGACGCGGTCAAACTCAAAGTCTCAAAGGTAGTAGGACCAAACACGCCCGCACATGTTTATTATGAAGAATTATGTTTGATCATGTGCATAAATACATGAAATAGTGTAGATCATGCAAAGACGCGTTGCCAGCTACAGTTTTGACCTGCACTCTAGTGCCAAACTAGACACTAACTGCCTCCTCTTGCTTCCACACACAGGTGTCCCACCAGGCCATGTTGAGCGTGGATGAAACCGGAACAGAAGCAGTGGCCGCCACCACCATCGAGGTCATGCCCATGAGCATGCCTGAAGTCATGAATCTCAACAGACCCTTCATGGTCTTCATCCTGGAGCACTCGACAAAGAGCATCCTCTTCATGGGCAAGATCAGCGACCCCACAGCCATGTAAAGATTCCAGGGACATAAGTGTTACGTTTGTTTTATTGTCACGCTGCAGTAGGTTTTTTAGCCACTGGACATAACGCTCATTTTGACCTCGGGATCTGAAAGCCGTGTGCAGATGTCATACTGATATTTACGGCTTTGGGGGTTTGATGAATGAAGTGTAGCTCGATGAATAGGAGGACAGATCTATCAAACAACCCGAAATGTCAAGTCCTTCAATCTGCTTGCAGTCCGTCTGCCTGACTCAATAATTACCGTCTGTCATCGGAATTCGGCTTTATGTATAAATGTCTAAATACATCATAATATTCAGTATCCATCTGACTGTTGTGTTTATGATAAAGATGAAAAAACACATAAGTAAAAAGAAGGCTTGAAGCATTTGCGTTGTTATTGTGCTTCTGCTGTTTCAACATGCCAGAACTTCACCGTAAAAACGGCAACGTCCACGTAGAAGGCGTTACGGTAGGTTTTCGTCAGTTGTAAATTTCACATATCAAAACTGTTATTTGTTTAAAATGACTATTAAAAAACAGAAATATTCTAAACTTGTTGACTGTAATTTGCGTTAAAAACAGCGAATCTGTTGCAAATGCGGTACAATACCGCACTGAGAAGTGACAGTGACAACGTATAAGACGTCACGGTGTTTTGGCCACTGGAAGTTTCAGTTGAGAAAGGTTTTTCATTTACTCCAAATGAAAAGGTCTGTTGTAAAACTGTATGAATTACATTGAAATATGATACAATTTCAGACAGCTGTTATACTATCACTCTAATTACAGTCCTTGTCAGAGAGAAACACAGTAAAATGCAAGATTTACACTTTTTTATTACAAAGTAAATCGCAGGCAGCTGTGGTTGCCAGAATTTCTTTGCAAAAAATACAGTATAGAATTGTTTGGAATGGATTTTAACTTCTGCTTTTAGTCAAATAACAAAGGTACAGTCATCCTGAACAAACAGCAAGTGTCCATAAAGGATCATGAGTAAATATGGTTGGTCCTTTGCCCTGAGTTGATCAAGAGTAATGAATCACTGAGTCCAGACTTGACTGAAGAGGTCACACAACCCGGTGTAGAGTCTCCCGCGTACATAATGTTCACTAGTTCTACTTGAGGACTCATATGTTGACCAGTCAGTGTTCAATGTGGACTGCAATGACCCTTTGCGGCCCAGTTCAGCATGATGCCTACATAGAGAAACATTCACTGCCCCATACACATACACACACTTCTATATATATATTAAGGATATAGTGTATATGAGGATTATTTGCTACACTGAACCATACCATGGCTTACCTGTAATTGGCATTGACAAAAGGTGATGTTTGAATCACTGCGTCCAGACTTGTCAGGTGGGATAAAGTCTCAAACAGAAAGGGCTTTGTGTTCAGGAAACTAGAACTTTGGGCAGGTGTTATTCTAATAGAGTAGAGTACGTCAACCAAGTCTAAGTGAAGTCAAAACAGGTTTTACTAGCAAGTAGAACCCACATTGGACTATGCAAAGTTAACATCAGCAATACTGAAATGATAACAGTGCTTACATAAATAGAATACCCTAAAGCAGAGGACCGCGGTCTGGATCCAGACCGGGACCAAAAGCTAAAGTAAGACGGTTGTGATTTAAACATGACCACAGACCAATAGCATTCGAGTTAAAACATCCCACGTGATACCACTCAACCAATCAAGTCTTTGCATTCCAGGCAGGATGATATCGTCTCAACACTGCGAGAGAGGTAGCAGCAAATTACAAATAAAAAGATGGTAGGAAAGAATGGAAAGAGAAAGGGACGGGTGAGATAAATGAGGAAGAGACAAGTGGACAGCGAAATCCAAGTCCCCAACCACTTGAGTTTTAATGCCATGTCTGACAGGTTGCTGTATTAAATTAAATTATTATATTTCCCTGATAGTGCTGTCTGCCAAATCCCTGTGTTTCCGAGACATATGGGCCATAAATTAAAATATTTTTGCATCCTTCCACAGGACAAGTCATGG